GTAAACCAATTAATCAGAATCTCTGGGGGGTGGGGATTCTGACGCCAAGGCTGGAACTCCACTGCCTTAAAGTAGCAGTGGACATTCCCCAGAGAAGAAGGCCGGGCAGTGTGAAAGCCAATATGGGAGCTTGTTTCCGCAGAGATGATTGATCCAAGGCAAGTTGTATACTTTAAAGGTCAACTTCAGTTATCCAAGTTCAGCTTTGCGGAAGCGCTCACAAAAGGAAGCTGCAGAGAGCAGAGGAGAGAACACAGGCTTTGGAAACAGACAGATCCCCACTCTACCACTTAGAGCGTGTGTTGACCTTGGCAAGTTACTGAACATCCCCAAGCCTCAGTTTCATCACTTGTAAAATGGGGACATTTCCAGGGCCAGTCCCAGAGGGTTGCTTTGAATTTGAGTTATAAAATGAAGTAGCACAAGTGTCCGGTGTTCAATAAATATTAACTCCCAATCCTCTGACCCAGGTTCCAGACACAATGAGGCATTACTGTGCAACAGATGGTACCTAACACCCTTTCCCATTCTTACATATCAACGTTACTGTTTTTAGAAGAAAACAGCCAGCTCATAGGTAAGTCGTTCCTGGCTGAAGCTGACTCACGGCAAGCTGCTTACATTTTTAGGGAGGAGAGCCGAGATTCTGGGAACAGCAGTTTCAACAACCCTGGGTCCTTCGATTTCACAACTACCCCCTAGAGGCTCATCTTCACCAAAAGACACAGCATGGCTTCAGGATGCTTCATCTCCTCTTGCTGGACCCTCATGTCTTCATCAGATGGACAGTTAGTGGGTATGTCTCTGTGCCAGGCCCTGGGCGGGGCAATGGAATGGGCCCTCTACCCTTACCGAGCTCCTTGTCTAGCGGGAAGCCAGGCATGGCTGCCAATACCCACCATACCCAGCAAGAGAAGCCATGCAAGGTTTCGGAGGAGAGGAGGCAGGTGTTTAAGGGCAGAGAGTGGTGGCTGGGGCTCGGGGTGGGGAGGGGTGCCGGTAGCGTTCCTCTGCTCAGCAGGGAGCCTGCTTCCCCCCATCTCTCTGCCTGCCTCTCTGCCTACTTGTGATATCTGCCTGTCAAATAAATAAATAAAATATTAAAAAAAAATAAAATAAAATCACTGTTCCTCACTACGCCTGTATTGCCCCCCCCAACCTCGGTTTTCCCATCTGTAGATGGGGCAGGGGACCAGATAGAAGTCAATGCAATAATCCCTTAAGGTTCCTGCTTTGGACAATTTTGTGGAATGAGTCCCATGGCCCACATTCACGTTTTAATTAAAGATTACATCAAGCTCTGTTCGGAAAATTTCACAACAAGCCTTGGACCCATCTGGCTTTTCCTCTGCTGGGGGGTGGGGTTCACAAGAGGAACAAGGAGAGATGAGTGTCATGTGATAACTTCCTTCCTCACCATCTTCTTCTTCATTTCTGTTCTACCTCCATCCTGTGCGAGGCCATCCCTGCAGGGTGTGAGCCCCAGACTGGGCTCAGCCTCTCCCCACCAGGGCCTCAGTCTCTGCACCTGACAAATGGGGACAAGCCCTCCATGAAGTGTGTTGGACAGAGCGAAGGGCGTTGACACTTGGGTTTCCAGGGGCCAAGTGGAGCTGTACCCCACCCTCTGGGAATTCTAAATTTGTAGCAGATTGTTGGGTCCGAGAGGCCAGCTTGGCTGGGGCTCAGAAAATGTCACTCAGCTTCTGGGCATATCGGAGAGCAGCTTTGTGGCAGGAGCTGATGATCTCCATGATAAATGAGCCCTAAATGAATCCTTACATCAGGAATTTGAGTGTTTGTGGTTAGCCTCGAAAGGAAGGGAGAGAGGGAGGCTAGGGAAGGATGCAGGGATGCACCAGCAGCCTGCCCACCAGGCTCCCTTCCTCCACTAACATTTGCTGAACTCCTACTGTGTGCAGGGTCTGGTGCTGGCTCAGAGACCACAGGGATGAAGCTGACATAGTCCCTACCGCACCCCCCCCCCAAAAAAAAACAAGATGCACAATCAGTTGTGATCAGTCCTGTAACAGAAGAGAGCCCAGGACGCTGTGGGGACAGAGTGACTCCAGCCCGATCTGGGGGGTATGGGCCCAGGAAAGGCTTTCTACAACACAGCTTGCAGGACAAGCCCACCAGGTCGAAGTGAGCACTCCTGGCAGGGAAAGAGCAGAGGCAAAGTCTTAGGGGAGTCAGGGAAGCCTCGAGAAGCTTTGGATTGGAGTGCAGGAGGCAAGGGTGGTGGGGGGAGAGGAGAGGGACAGCCAGAGGGGTCAATAGGAGATAGAGCCCGAATGGCCTTAAGTCCCAGCCAAGATAGCTCAGATTTTATTGTGGCCCCAGGGAGTCAGGGTAGGGCTTTCTCCAGAGGGATGTCTAGGGCTGAAGCGGGAGCAGGGGTGTGTGGAGGACGGTCCCTGCTGACTCAGCCCGGCTTTCATTCACTCCCCCAGGGAGTGCTTCTTGAGGGCCTGCTCACCCGTCTCCACAGCACCAGGCTGGCTAAAGCCCTCCTCAGGGCACAGGCTAGGAGAAAATGTATGCGAAGAGCCAGGCCTCACTTGACAAAACTCCTTTGTGATGAGCCCTCGGGCCATGGTGGAACGGTGCTCTGCTGCCCTCTAGTGAGGGCTGGAGCTTCACCCCTGCGGCGTCGGCCAGCTTCTACAACAGTTTCTCTGGAGACCTTCCCTCTGCCCCTGCCGGGACCACAGGAGTCTCACTGCCCCCAGGGAATAGAGGACAGGCCAGGGGAGGGGGACACAGAGGGACTCAGCCCCAGCTGTGCACGGGGGCCCAGGAGTTGTGTCCTTTAACTTTCTCAAATGAATGGACAGAGATGGTGTGGACTCCTATCACTATCATGATGGTCACGGTCATGATGATGATGGGACGGTGGCAACGGGGGCAGGGACTGCTATTTCTGTAGCTACTGGTGGTGATGGCAGAATTGGAGTGATGGCGGTGATGGGATTACAGTGATGGTGATGAGGACAAGGAGGGAGGAAGAGACTGTGGTAGTGGGGATAGAGGTGGTAGCTGATATGGATGGATTTCCTTGTCCCCATCTTTGGAGCGGATACTCAATCTCTTAGGCACACACCTTGGAAGGGGGAGTTCTGGATCACGGGACAGGCACATGTTAACTTTCCTAGATCAAGCCAAATAGTTTTCAGAACACGGTTGTCTTTACACTCCTGCCTGCCATGCGGCGGTGGCGGGGAGGTGTCCCACAAGCCACAGTTAGCAGTGTCTGTTTTGTTCCCTCGTGTAGCTCTCACAGCCATGGAAACTTAGCACACAAAGAAGGCTTAATAAAAAAACCTGCTGAAGGAATTCACAATTTAAGGATAACAGATGTCCTCACTCGCTGTTAGAGAACAGAACCAGAACTTTGCTCTTGCCTGCGGACATCCAGCCATGTACATGTTCTGACCGGGTTGCCAAAGTCACAGCCCAACAGCCCATCCCACCCCATCATGCACATATCCCTTGTCTTGGCATTTTTCTCAAAAATCCCTTCCGTGTGGCTCATCTTGGTCCAGTTTGAAGAGGGACAGCAATTTGATTAAACCAGAGCACACAAAGATACAAATGAGTGGTAGTCCTTAACCCTTTTAGGGACATTGCTCTCTTGCTGGGTCCACGACAGAAAAAGCTGCCATCACAGACAGCACCCAGGCCCGCAGACTTTCATAGCTCCGGGTTCTATTGGGATCTGCCGCTCACGTCTGCTTTCCCCTCAGACAGCCTCCCCTGTGTGCCCCTCTTTTCTCCCATTTTTTTCATTTACAAAACAGGAAAAGTAATTCTTGTCCTATCCACCTCAAGGATTAATCAAAAAATGTAACAGATTAAGGAGCTTCACAGTTGAAAGAAATCTTGGAGATCATCTAAGGACTTTTATTATTGCTCTCAGATAATTCTTTACAACCGATGAATCCCTTTCAATTACACGGTCTCATTGAAAACTCAGGACAACCAAGTGACATCATTCATCTCTTTTTGGAGGAAGGAAACAGGTTAAGAAAGGGGGAATGACTTGCCCAAGTGGCAGGGCTGGGAGCAGTGGCTCTTTGCTCTGCCTAACTCTCCCTGTAGATCTAGCTTGAAGGCACTATGACCAAAAGGTTAACCAGCTCTTGCTTGTACTCCTCCAGTGCACGGGGAGCTCACTGCCACCCACGTTAAGCCAGTCCCTAGCTGGGCAGCTCCGATAGTTGTCTATCATTTGTGGTGGTATGGAGCACATTGCATTGGGTGGGGGAGGGGGGTGATCTTTAAAGGTTTTCATCCTATTGTGTGTCAGGGAGAGGAGAAGTTTACAGAAATATGCAGAGAATATACAGAGGCAGCTGGAATGGCAATAATAATCACAACATCTATTTGATAGTGTCACTTCCGTGTTTGTAACCCATGAATGGCTTCCTGGTTCCCTGAAGCGGGAGTCCAGACTCCTTCGTGTATCCTCCATGAGCTTGGTCCAGTCTCAAACACCCTCTACATGTCTCACACATTTCCCCACCCCACCCAGCATTCCTGCAATGTGTTCCCTCTGAGAAGAGCCTCCTCAACCCCCAGCTCCTACAGGACTCTGAACTATGCCCCTCCACAAATCCCTGCACACTAGACTGTTCTTACTTGTGTCCCGAACTAAGACTACATGATTCCTTTGCCCTGATGCCCAGCACGGAGACTGTCCCTGAACGGGTGGTTGGCCCACCCCAGCACCTATGCACATAACTCTGCGGTTCCTGACGGCCAGACCAGGAGAGGGTTAAACAGCAGCCCTGGCCTTAGATCAGCCTTGGCATTGGAGAAGCAGGTGGCCCAATGTTTAACCAGATTCTTTCTGGTCCTTTTGTAAGCTTGGCTCAGGAGCTCAGTCCAGCCAGGTCTTCTGAGAGCTGAAACCTGGGCCCCTCTTGCCCCATTAGGTGCCTCTCCCCGCCCCACTTCCTGGGTCCTGGGGTGCCAAGTAGCCAGAGCTGCCCGGTGGGGAAGCAGGGGAGGAAGCTTTACAAAGCTGGAGGAGCTGTAGGTGGGGAGTGGGGAGGGCCTGGTCCATGCTCTGCCCAGGCCCGGGTTGAGCCCTTCCCATCCCTGCCCTCCCTATCCCCATCTGTGTACAGAGAAGGCTGGTCTGGGTAGTCCCTCCTGATAGGAATGGGCAAGAGCAAGGGATCCCCAGACTCCAGAACCCCCTAGCTAGGGGTCCCTTTGCTGGACACTTTTTCCAGCAGACGTGGGGGTGGGTAAATCTTTAACTAGCTAGCCCTGGGGAGGCTGGAGCCTTTCCGGATGGATGATTGCCTGAGAAGGGGGAAAGGGGGTGGGGGATGTAAGGTGTGTACAGCAGTCCCGGTGAGGTGGGAAAGGGCGGGTAGTGGAGAGAGAAAGGAACGAGACTCGGGCGGAGCTAACTTCGTGTGCAAAGCGGGACATGGAGGAACGCGGGTCTCCAGACGGGTAAGCAGAGATTCTGGGAGGTTTCGAGGAGCCTCTGGGCTCAGGGATGGTAACTTCCGTTGCTGCCACAGGGACCCCGCGCGGAGCCTGGAGCAGGGGCCAGAGGGGCCAGAAACGCCCATCCAGGTGGTGCTCAGGTAGGTATAGACTGGTTGGGGAGTGCGGGGGCGGGGGGCGCGAGCGAGGACAGGACCGATGGCGACAATGGGATGGACCGTCCGCCTTCCCAACGGACCCCAGGGTGCGTCCCATGAGCGCCGCCGAGTTGCGTCGAGGGGAACAGAGCGCGCTGCACTGCTCGGGGACCCGGACTCTGCAAGTGAGGAACCCTTCCCCCCTCGAGCCCCAACCCCCTTCCCCCAAAACCTACCTGAAGGCCCCTCCGTCCCTTTCCCGGGGCAACTTTGTCCCAGGCCCCCGCCTCCCCCGGACATCCCCGTGAGCCCTGCCCTCCCAGGCTCCGCCCCCAGCGTGCCCCGCCCCCTCGGCCGCCCCCTCCCCCAGGTGAGCCCCCCGGGCGGCGGCCCGGACGTGGCGTTCCGCTTCGGCGCGGTGCTGGACGGGGCGCGCACGCAGGAGGACGTGTTCCGGGCGTGCGGCGTGCGGCGCCTGGGCGAGCTGGCGCTGCGCGGGTAAGTGAGGCGCAGCCAGGGCTCCCGGCCCCGGCCCCCCACGACCCGGGCCCCCAGCCCACCCCCTCCCCTCCAGCCCCCAGCCCATCGCCGCCCGGGTCCAGCGGCGCCCCTGTCGCCCGCAGCTTCTCCTGCACTGTCTTCACCTTCGGCCAGACCGGCTCCGGGAAGACCTACACCCTGACCGGGCCTCCTCCGCAGGTGGGCCCGGCGCCCAGGAAGCGGGGAGGGAACGGGAGCCGCACGCTTCCGGGGGGAAGGGCCTTCGTGCCGCCCAGCCCCATTTGCAGACGGGGAAACTGAGGACTGGAGAGGTGAAGGCGTCTGCCTCATATGGAGCCACTTTTATCCACTTGCGCATAGTAGGGCAGTCCTCTACCAAGGGTAGTTATGACTGTTGCTTTGTGTTGGGAGGAGCGTGATCCAGCCCCAGGCTCAGCTGTTTTTCTGCCCCCAGGGCGAGGGTGTGCCCGTACCCCCCAACCTAACCGGCATCATACAGAGGACCTTCATCTGGCTGTTAGACCGCGTTCAGCACCTGGGCGCGCCTGTTACCCTCCGTGCCTCCTATTTGGAGATCTACAATGAGCAGGTGGGGGACTGAGATGAAGAGAGCGCCCTCAAGGAGAAGGAGGCATTTCTCTCCAAGGAGCAGGGGTGGAGGGACAGAAGCGGCTGGGGGCCTGTTGCTGGTAAAGGCTAGGGGTGGATGGAACGTGGGCTCAGGGCCCCTTCCCTCACCTGCCACCTTCACCTCAGGTTCGAGACCTTCTGAGTGTGGGATCTCCCCGACCCCTCCCTGTTCGCTGGAATAAGACCCGTGGCTTCTATGTGGACCAGCTGCGGGTAGTGGAGTTTGGGAGTCTGGGGGCCCTGATGGACCTTCTCCAAATGGGTGCGTGCTACTTCAGGGGTGCTTTGGGGTATGGGGATGCCCATTCCTCAGCTGTTCACTGTGCACCCCGAGTCCCTGGCTGGAGCTGTGGATTGAGATGCTCCGTGTGGGAGGAAAGGGCCAGCAAACCAACAATTCAGACACAGCCCAGAGATGTTCGTCCCCCCCCCTCCCCAGGCTTGCAGATTCTGCTATCCAAACTCTTGGAATTCTGATGATGGGGCATGATTGGGTAGTGTGGGGTCAGGGTCATGGTTTCTCTTGTCCAGGGCCTCTGCCTTGGTCGGGGCCCCATCTTTGGCCCCTGAGGTGGTCTCCCCACCTCAAGGCTCTCCCCTTCCAGTCTTTTCCCCTACGTGCAGCAAACCACATCCCTCTTCCTCTCCAGACCCCCAGACTCTTCCAGTTTCTTAAAGGTAAATGTCATACCTCTTAGGCTAGTCTGTGACGTCTTTCTGTTCCAGCCCCATTCATTCATCAAGTATTTATGGAGCAATTACCCTGTGGCAGGCACTGGGGACACTGGGACTCTGGGTTCTGGCCCCAAAGTTGTGCCCAGAGCTGAGCTTTCTGTCCGAGTCTTTCTCTTCGCAAGGCAATGGGAGAGATGTTCATAAAACATGAATTTGACTGACATTCCTCTGCTCAGTACTCCCCATCTCCCTCTCACATGTCCATGCTAGAGACAGCCCCGGCAGCCCCTCCTTCCCCTTTCCTGCCTCCGAGCCTTTGCGCGGGCTGGCCCCTCTCCCAGGATGCCCTCGCTTCTTTTCCTTTATCGGTGACCACGTGCTCCTCCTACCAGGTCCAGCTCCTGCCATTTTCCACCTCTAGGTCTTACCCGCCGACGGAGCTCAGCTCACACCCTGAACCAGGCCTCCAGCCGAAGCCATGCCCTGCTCACGGTCTACATCAGCCGCCAAACTGTAAGTGTCCCCACGTGGGGAAGGAGCTGGCCCAGGGCCACGCAGCCAGGGTCTGCCTCTGGATATAGCAAGCAACTTGGGCTGACGCTGGAGGTAATAGTGGAAATCTTTTCGGCTTTGTGACTTTGTGGGGACGGCCCCTCCCAAGTCCCCGTTGAGCCCTGATCCCCCTGCCCCACAGATGCCTCCAGGGGACCCTGGGGAACCCCCCATGGCGGGGAAGCTGTGCTTTGTAGACCTGGCTGGCAGCGAGAAGGTGGCGGCCACAGGATCCCGGGGGGAGCTGATGCTTGAGGCAAACAGCATCAACCGTAGCCTGCTGGCCTTGGGTGAGACATGGGGCCGGCCGCATGGACGTCCTGTGTCCTTGCCCTGAGCCTGACCCAGAGCTGTCCCTGGTGGGGGAACCAGAGGAGTGGTAGTGGGGGGTCAAGAGCTGTGACCCACTAGCCACCCGCCTCCTCTTGGCCTTACCGTGCTATTGACTCGTGCCTCCCCTCTTAGAACTTTACGAGTCTATAAAACTGAGGGTTTATAAAGGTACGTTTTCATCTGAGAAGTAGAAACACTCGTTGCAGAGGCTGAGCCCTCAGACATTCAGCCTGTCCCCATGTGCAGTTGGGAAGACTGAGGCCCCACAAGAGGAAGGAAGTGACCTTCTTTCCACCCCCGCCCCAGATCACTGGGCCTTGAGGTCCCTTCCTCGGCGGTGTGTGTAGGGAGATTTTCAGGGAACTCTTCTTCATTTCCTGAGCCCCTGCTGAGTGCCAGGTTCAGGAGTGGTCAGCCTCTTTGGTTGCACTGGGGATCGGGGCGGACAGGGCCATCTCTGCCCTCAGGAGCCCCTGTCTGGTGGCAGAGATTGGTCTGACCAAGTAACTAGATCTCATAGGAAGAGGGATTTTCAAGTCACACAGGTCTGGGTGGAGGTCCCAGCTCTGCACGTACCAGCTGGGTGGCCTTGAGCGAGAGCGGTGACCTTGCCGGCCTTGTTGTCCCCACCCAGGTCACTGCATCTCCCTGTTGCTGGACCCACAGCGGAAGCAGAGCCACATCCCCTTCCGGGACAGCAAGCTCACCAAGCTGTTGGCAGACTCACTGGGGGGACGCGGGGTCACCCTCATGGTACCAGAGAGGGACTGGCAGGGAGGAATGGCTCCTGAGGGAGGGGGGTCCCAGAGAGGAACACTCAGAGGCAGTCCTCCCCAGGTGGCCTGCGTGTCCCCTTCAGCCCAGTGCCTTCCTGAGACGCTCAGCACCCTGCGATATGCAAGCCGAGCCCAGCGGGTCACCACTCGGCCACAGGCCCCTAAGGTGAATGGAGGGAGACCCAGGCAGAGGGGCAGGGCAGAGGAGATAGTTGGGGTTCTGGCAGTAGTTGGAGTCCGAGTTGGTGTTATGGGAAGTCTGGAACTGAGTCAGAGTTGGGATTAGAGTCAGAGTCCTAGTGATGGGGTCCTGACTGGGTAGGGTGGGGTCAAGGTTATGGTCAGGGTTAGGGCATGCCTAGGTGTATGGTCTGATTTGGACATGATTCAGGGTGTAGCCAGGATCCCAGCTGGTACCATGATGAAGTCTGAGTTGTTGAGTTGGGGTCTGACATAGTGTCTCCTTTGGGGTCAGGATTTGGGCCAAGGTTTGAACAGAACTGAGTTTAAGATTGGACTTGGAGCAGGGTCCAGCTTAGAGCAGGCCCTCCAGGCCTCCAGTGAAAGTTGCCTGACCCTTTGATGCCGTTAGCACAAGGTGCCTCCTCCAGGTGGACATAGCCCCGGGATGCGAGGCTGGCGAGTGAAGTATGGGCTGGGTTTTAGGCTCTCCTCACCCACCCCGGGAAGCCCTTGAGCAGTGCACAACTTGGGCAGCCACAGACAGCAGTTCTGGGCCTCTTTCTCTGCAGTCGCCAAAGGCAAAGCATCCCCAGCGTTTGGAGGTTGAGATACTGCAGCTGCAGGAGGAGAACCGTTGCCTGCGGTCCCAACTGGGGCAAAGAGACCCCAAGGGTATGAGTTCCCTGGAGGCAGGGGTAGGGTGAGGCTAGGGTCCAGGGCTCCTCTGGATCCAGCCATCTTCCTCTTCCCTGCAGCCTCCAGGCTCAGTGGGGCTCGGGTGGCCTGGGCCCAGCGGAACCTCTATGGGATGCTCCAGGAGTTCATGGTGGAGAATGAGAGGCTCAGGTAGGGCCTGCCTCAGCCATGGGGACTCTGCCCCACCCCGCCCCTCTGGGCTGCTCTGCCAAGCTGCACCGCTCCCTAGTCTGTGGCTACCCTGCTGTCCCCCTGCTTGCCTCCTGGGGCTCGTACTCCACCACAGAGAGGAGGGCTAGCGGATACCCCCACAGGTAGCTCTGCCTCCTGTCACCTGCCTGGGGCCTGCTCTTCCCAGGAAAGAAAAGAGCCAGCTGCAGAGTAGCCAGGCCCAGGCCCGGGATGAACAGCGAATCCTGGCCCAGCAGGTCCAGGAGCTGGAGCGGTGAGCACGGCTGCCAGCCGGGAGACAGGCCTTGGGACCCAGGGCAGGTGGGAAAGGGTGGCTCAGTGAAATGGTCAAGGGTCTGACCTCTGGACCCAGACCCCCTGGGTTTAAACTTCAGCTCTGCCACCTACTAGCTGTGTGACCTTGGGTGAGTCATTTTACCTCTCCCTGCCTGGGCTTCCTCTCATATAAAATGGGGAGAATACAGAGCCTACTTGATAGGGTGGATGTAGAGTTCAGATTGAATGAGTTCATTTGTAAAGCCTTGAGCACGGCACCTGGCTTATAGTTAGTGCTCCCTGAGTGTTTGTTAAAAGGGGGGACGTGGAGGCCAGCCCGGTGTTGGTTCGCGGGCTGTAGGCACAGACCCCACTGTTCTCTCCAGGCGCCTCTTCAGTGCCTGCCATCACCAGCCGCACCCTGGCCTGGCCCCTCCGTGTCCCTGTGTGATGGTGCCAGCTCCCCTGTGCCACGTGAGTCTCTGCCAGGCCGGGAGAGGAGAGGAGCAGGACCAGTGCAGAGCTTCTGACACGCCCTCTTGCAGGCCCTGCCTCCCCCCTGCTCCTGCGGCGGCTTCTGCCCCCTATGCCGAGCACCGCTGGCCCACTGGGCCTGTGCACGTGGGGAGCTCCACCTGCCCCAGGTAGGAAAGGCGGGGGCCGGGGTGAGGGTTGAGTGAGCGGGGAGAGCTGGAGACTTGGATCCAGGGTTCGGCAGCCTGGGAGGCTCCAGAGTTCCAGGGTCCCAGGCTGGATCATGGGGTGAGGGGTCGCTTTGGGCCAGTTCGCTCACCTCCCCCTGCTCCCCATCCTACCTTCTTTTTTTTTTTTTTTTTTTTTAAAGATTTTATTTATTTATTTGACAGAGAGAGATCACAAGTAGGCAGAGAGGCAGGCAGAGAGAGAGAGGAGGAAGCAGAGAGCCCGATGCAGGGCTCGATCCCAGGACCCTGAGATCATGACCTGAGCCGAAGGCAGAGGCTTTAACCCACTGAGCCACCCAGGCGCCCCGCCATCCTACCTTCTTTCAGGATCTCACGGAGCCACTCACTTACCCATTCGTCCACTCACACGTTACTCATTTACGTCTTCACTTACGTGTTCACTCACTCGCTCGGTAACTCTCCCCTAAGCTCCAGCTTTGTGGTAGCCCCGGTTCTGGATGCCAAGAATTCCGAAAGAGACCAGGCATGGTTCCTGCCCTCAGGGAGCTCCTATCTCCGGAGAGGACATTCCAAGGGCTACCTGCCACCCACAGAAAAAGGGACCAAGAGCCCACACCTTTATGTCCCCCTGATATGCTTGGTGTCCCGAGGGGGCAGGCATGGCAGAGATGGTGGTGGCACCAGGAGGATGGGGCACGTAGAGGCAGGCTCACCCAGGGTGGGCTCTGGTCTTCCCTGCAGGTGTTTGGCCCTAAGGCCCCAGGCGGTGTGGCCCTGTCTGCCCAGCCCTCACCCTGGGCACCCCCAGGCAACCCTGGCTCTGCCAAGTGTCCAAGAGAGAGGTGGGCCAGCCCTGGGGCACTGGGACGGGAGAGGAGGGGACCAGGCAACCCAAGGCTCATCTCCCACTACCCAACCCACCCCGGCCCAGGAGTCCTAGCGAGTGGCCTCAGGCCCGAGTCCTGGCGGAGATGCTGCTGGAAGAGGAGGCGGTACCCTCCGCGCCCCCGCTGCCTGTGGGGCCCCCGAACACCTCACCAGTGCTGAGAGGTGAAGAAAGAGGGAGCGGCCCCTCGTGGGTGTATTTTTGGTGATCTTGGGCCAGAACCCACCCTGTCCAGACCTTAGTCTTCCCATCTCTGAAACGGTGTTTGTTGAGAGGTGATCTGTAAGATCTTTCCAGTTCCCAAACTTGGAATTCGCTTCCTGGGGCCACCTGTATGTCCAGTTGTGTGCAGGAGCCCGTGGTGTATGTTGAGGGGTAGGGGAGCCCCCTGAGGCTTCCCCAGAGGGTGATGGGACACTGATGGGTCCAGGTGGGGAGGGGCCCAAGGGAGCGCAGGCCTTGAGTCTCACCGTGTGCTTCTCAGGTGGGGCTGCAGTTCCAAACCTGGCCCAGAGACTGGAGGCCCTCCGAGACCAGATTGGCAGCTCCCTACGCCGTGGCCGGAGCCAGCCACCCCCCAGCGAGGCTGCTGGGAGCCCCAGGCGAGTCCTCCCTCCCTGCTGAGGGCAAAGCAGAAACCTAAGAGACTACTGCGTGACCTTGGTCTGGGCTCTGTGCTCCCAGGCTTCCATCTCCCTATCTGTGCAATGGAGATGGCAGCTGACGTCCCTCCGTGCACCTGTGCCGGACAGAGGCCAGTTCCTGAGAGCTGCAGCTAGGGACTTGTGGGCAGTTTGGGGGGGAGCAGAGGAAGGGTGACACCCCAGACTGTGAGAAAGGAGAGACTGGATTTGGGAGAAGCCAGGCGGCGGGTGATGAAACAGACAAATGATTAAAGAAAGGTGTCGCTCCGAGTGTGGCGGGTCGTGTTTTAGGGGCGTCAGGCACTTCCGCGTGGAGGCAGCCCAGAGAGAGGGGCTCCCAGGGGACCCCGAGGAGGAGCCAAGGATTCTTGGTAGAGGTGCATGCCCCTTCTGATTGGGAATAATCCGGGTTGCCATCTCCTTTGTATGTGATACGGTTTTAATTGAGAGACTGCTGCAGGCAGCAGGGCAGCCGAGGGGAAATCAGCGAGCGGTGTCTCCCTGCAGGAGCATGGGGGAGACCAGTTCCAGCCAGCCTGTGTGCCCGCTACAGGCATGCTGGTGCTGCAGGGGTTGTGAGGTTTGAGTTCTGATGCCACACACTTGCTGGGACCTTGGGCAGGCCTTGAACCCTCCCGGACCACTTTCTGGTGTTCAGCCGACTAGACGGGGTGGGAATGGCTCCTTGTCTGTGGAGTTCGAGTGAGGGTCAAGAGGTGAAGAATGTCAGGATCCCAGTAGGGTGTAGTGGGTCTACAGTTAGGGGGAAGTCCCGATGTGACATGAGAAATTGGGGGTGCCAGTGGGAGGACCTCGTTAGAGAAACAGCCATGAGACTCTTCTAACTCTCCCATTTTGGAGTCCGGGGAACCGAGACCTGCAGGGCTCATTCCTGCCTCTGTTCGCTCATTTGTTCATTCAACACTCCTGGCATTGACGCCAGCCTGGGTGGTGAACAGGACTGAGAAGGGACACACAGCTTTGCCCAGGAAGCTCACGGAGGTTGGGTGTTGAAAGGCGAGACGCGTGGCTGGGCATGCGGGGTGTTCAGCCGCGGAGACTCGGTGGGAGGCCAGTGCCAGGGGGCAGAGCCCAGGACGTGGGGTTACGAGCAGCCGCCACAGGCCGCCGGGCCCAGCAGAGTGGGTTTGGTTAAGTCCACAGCCTGAACCATACAACGTGCAAATCTTGCCGCCTTCTGTAACCATGAGTGATCCCAGGCAGACAGCTTCACTGCTCTGAACCTGGGTCCTCTCATCGGCAGGATGGCTGCAGCAGCAGGAGCCCCTCCCTGGACAGTTGTGGGCATTAAATCTACTCGGAGATGGGAAGAGTGTGGCACCAGGCCTTGCTTATTGCAATTCAGCTGAAAGCAACTTTCAGTCAATATGACCATTTGGTGATGATCTGGGTTCAAAACAAGTCGTTTCACAAAGCCCTATGGAGAGTCCACTTTGGGCCAACATTGAACAAAGCCTAAGAATCCTCACCGTCACCAAACACAGAAGATCAGAGAATAGAGGGAACTCAGTGATAAATGCCATGGAGCAAAATCTCGCAGGGAGGGCCATCCACCAGGATTCTAATGGGGGGATCAGGAAAGGTCCCACGCAGGTGACGTTCATGCCCAGACCTGAAGGAGGAGAGGAGGGTGAACCTGGTTAATGCCGTCAGGTCACTTTTTTCAACTCTTTTTTTCACTTTTTTTCATCGTGGTGCCACCTTGTTTCCGGTGGCTTGGCAGGCTTGAGCCTGGGCTCCTCCCCTCTGAAGAGCCCTTCTCTCTCTCTCATTCTCTCTCTCTCTCTCTCCCTTTCTCCCTCTCTCTCACTGTATGGGGTCCCTGCTTGCTGGGAGGTCTCCAGCCCCCCCGGCAGGGAAGGCCCCTGGCACCGAGCGTGAGAGCTTTCCTCAGCTGCCCTGGGAGGGTGGACAGGGACCACCCAGGGCGACCCTGGCTGTTGCTGGTTCATTTTGTGTTTGGATGATTCCTTCTTCCGCTGGAGCCGGCCACGATTTTCCAGTTTCCTAGTTCCAGCTCAGCAAAACCCCCACTTACTTTCCCAGAGAGAGACTGAAGGAGACCAGTCTCCAACGCCCCATGTCCTACGCCATGTGTCCAAACCCGGGTCAACATCCTTGCTCTGGAGCTGCCCCTGGTCCAGAATCCTGAAACTCTGGAGGAATTCCAGAGGACCCCAATAATGCATCAAGATTCTTCAAGTCGAGTGGTCCTTACTGAGAGCTCGAGGACTCCAGAGGGCTCTTCTGGAGCCCTGAAGGCTACAGGGCTTCCCAAGGATGCTGGAATCTGGGGGCGGTTCTCCGGTCCCATGAAATAGGGTAGTCATTCTCCAGAACTGTCAAGCTTAGAAGGTCTCTGGTATATCAGAATTGGGGGAAGCTCTAGGAAATTCTGGGGCACTGTAGACGTTCTTCAGAATCCCAGATCCTTAAGTGATCTCTCAGAAATTTCATGTGCTGTGAAATTGCACGTAATAATTGGGAGGGATTCTCTGGACTCTCTAGCTGGGGGGTTGGGGGGATGTTTAGCGGAGCTTGGAAGGCCATCCATGAGTTTGTAGAATGCTGGCAAATCTAGAGATGAATCTAGATGTCTAGAGCCCCGGCTGAATTCTCCAGATCCTTGGGGACCTTCCCTCTTGGCCAGGGCAGGAGCGGGAGTTCGTCACTGTAGGACACACACTTAAGGAAGGGCATGCCTGTGGGTCCTTGTTCTTCCTTTGAGGTCTCCTCTGGGTGATCAACCCCAAGATAGACGCCACCGGTGTAGACAGCGTGACGGAGTGTGCAGAACCCACCGCTGAGAACATCTCACTCCGGTCTCTGTCAGCTCCGGCCGCACCCGCCCCCGCCTACTTTCACCTCCCACACGTGTCCTCACTGCTCTCAGGGTTTTTCCCCCTTTGTCTGATGACCCATTTGCCCCAGTTCATACTCAGTTTTGTATCCAACAAATCGATTTCAGCCCCTCTGAGGGACATTTTGTGTTCCCTTACATGTCTCCTACCGTCGTGTCCTTATCGAGCTTCCTGATTCCCCTTCCTTTATTTTAATGGTGGGGCAGTGTCCCCGGGGCGGTCTTGCTCTGAAGCAAGGAGCAGTAGCCACCAGGAGTTGTAAGCAGGTGGTGCTGTGATTAGAGGGCAGGAGCTGCAGGCGCCAGGGCTCGGGGCTCAAAGCCTGCCCTGCAGCAGACCGCCTGTGGGGGCCGCATGAGCCCTGCCCTGGCCAGCCAGAAGGAAGACCTTGGAAAGCCGGCAGGGGCCTGGTCCACAGGATCCTTCATGCAACCCCCACTTATGATCACACAGACTCTCGCTCATCACCCCTTTACCAGGTCCCTCTTGAAGGCCGGGCCTGCGCTCCTGGTGGTCAGGCTGGAGGCCTGGGTGGTCTCCAGGCTTTGGAAAGTTCGGCAGACGCACCCCCTCTCCCAGCCCCTGTCTGTTCGAGCTACAGCTGTGAGAGCCTGGGCAAGATAGTTAAGCTCTCGGAACCTCAGACTCCTTCTCTGTAAAGTGGGGATAAGATCGGTTTATCCTGTGAGAAGCTCGTAAGTGCTCACAGAAGATAGGAGATGAGGATTGAAAGCGACTCCACATAAATTGTTGAGGGCAGAGCCTGCCACCCCGGTCAGTGCTCCATGAATGCGAATCGGTATTACTGTTTTTATTAGTAACACGCTCTCAGCACACACGTGGGATGTTCCTGTCCTTGCAGGAGAGGAATGGGTGTCGCCACCTGCTCCCTGGTCATTGCACAGGCATGACCTTGTTCATCTCCACTCTGCCGGCCCCGTCCTACAAGGGGAGGAAGTGGCCATGCGGCACTGCTGGCCAGTATGAGCGCCAGGGACGAGTCCCCGCTGCTCTGCCAGGGCTCACCGAAAGAGAGTCATTTGTCTGCATTGAGGAAGGGCCAGGGGGACTTTCCAGAAAGTCTGGCTGGCCTCGAGGTTTTGGAAAAGAGCTATTTTAGTCTGTGTGAGGACATTGGGTGATATCAGTTCAGTGAGCCAAGAGTCAGGGCAGGTCCCTGGAGGTCCTGCTGTAATGGACAGATAAGACCAGGCTGCAAAGAGCAGGAAGATGCCTGTGTCCTCTGCCTGGACACAGGCTGGATTTTGGAAGCTTACTCCTTGGGGAAAACCCTTTCTTCAGTGGTGCAAAGGGAGCCAGAGGGTGGGCCGCAAGCTCTGTCCCCTGGGTCTCAAGGACACTTGGCTCCAGAGTGTCGGGCTTCGTGGGCTGCTTCTCCAGGCTGAGCCAGCCTCTCCTGCAAGCAGGAAGCTACACTGACGACATCCAAGGGCACTCCTCACTCCGCTCTCTGCAAGGAGCGAGAATGTGACCTGTCCATCATTTCATTCTTCCATACCCCGTGGCCCCTCTGAACCCCATTTAACAGAGGAAAAAACTCAGATCCAGAAAGGTGAAGTCACTTAGGATCACATAGGAAGAGGGCACAGCAGTGACTGGAACCCAGATCTGTCTGGGGGCAAAGTTCAACCGCATTGTCATCACTCTGCTAAACTAAGTTTGGGGGTCCTCCTGGCCATGGCACACAGACCAATTCAAAACTGGGGACACAAGGAAATGCCACCACCAAGCAAAGTCTCTTTGCCTTTTGGACTGTCATTGAGCTTTCTGGTCATTCACTGATCATGATTTAAGCACTTGGAGTAGCAATTCCAATCTTCCAGCCTCCCTAAGCTGCCTTCTAGTTGGGTGGACCTTCTTGGGGTCTAATATATTCTCCTCCACAGCTCTAAGGAAGTCCCTTGGTGTGTGTTCACTGAGCACCTACTAAGTGCCCGGCATACTGGTAGGCTCCAGAGAGGAAGAAAGTGGCAGGTCTCATGGCATGGCAGGCACAGAGTCTGCTTTTGGCTGGGGAGAGAGAAGCAGGCACGTGTCAACCTGACTCCTGCAGGGAGGAGGCCTGTGGAGGGAGATGACCCACTCCACTGCTCCAGGTGTCTGAAAGAACACAGCCCAAAGTGCCATTTAAGAGGGGACAGGGTCTGGGAGGTCATCAGAGTGAGAGGCAGGTGTCAGGGTGACAGATACGAGTTCGAATCATGATTCATTGCCTAGGTGGCCTTTGGTACCTGTTAGCCTGAGCTCTTAGCCTCAGTTTCCCTATCTGTAAGATAGAGCCACTATTGTAATAAAGCGACGGAGCCTTAACAGGAGAGTTCAGTAAGATGTGCTCGTGGGACACCGGCCTGGGGCCTGGCATGTTGTAGGAACTGAATCCGCCTTTGTCGTCTGGAGCAGTGGCACCCAAGTCTGGCTCACAGAGAGACTCTTCCAGGAAACTGTTTCCAAAAGGGCCCCATCTAAGCATACAGCTCTGTAGCTAGGTGGGGGATAGGCAAGGTAGAGGCTGAATGTTCTACACTCCCCAGGAGATCTGAAGCAGTCCTGGGGCAAGGAGGACTGGGTTCTAGCGCTCATTCTCCCCCTTCTGTGGACCTTTGCTTTAGGCCTCTGGCTCCTGGTCTGGGTGGAACCATCTGAACAAACCTGGGTGGTCTTTCTGGAAGTTCTCTGCTGCCCTCTAGCGGACCTGGGGCACTCTCACCTCCCTGCAGCATAATTCCTGCATTTCGGAGCCCTTACCAGGTACCCCCGAGCTGTGCTAAGTGCCTGTGAGGACACAGGTCCCTCCAGTGTGTGCACTTGGGCAGCTGGGAGGAAGTCCCTCTCTGAGCTCCTATATCAGCCACGTCCAGTGAGCTACTTGACCCTAGATGGGGAAGGTGAGGTCAGGGAAGAAAAGGTCACCCAATAAATCACAAGGGCTGGGACTCAAGGCTGTAGGTGGCCTAGCTCTTTGGGATGGGTGGGGAAGAAGTAAAGCCTAGAAACAGCTGAGCAGGGAGAGGGTCACCTCTCCTGATGCTGGTTATGGAGTCCTGGGTGCTGCCCACCTCCAGTTTCACCATGCGTGGACAGGTCACACTCTTGAGTCCAGGGGGAACTGCGCAGAGTTAGGTGTCTGGGGCAGGGCCTGGGGCTGGATACCTTCTCGTGAGGAAGGAAGGACCCCTACTATCCCCTTCCACCATTAGCACAGAAAGGCCCGAATCCTGACCTCACCCTCTGGTCTGAGTCCCACCCCATTGGCCTGGATGCCCCTGTTGGTCCTTCCTTCTTTCTGGAGAACCTTGAAGGGAGTTGCTTTCCAGCCCTCGCTTCTGCTCCCTCTTTGTGGATCTCTCCCAATTACAAATCTGACCGACCATTCCCTTCTGAAAACCCACCAGCATTCCTCACACACTTGAGATTCACAGCGACCTTTGGGCGGGCATCACAGTCCTACCTGCTGGGCCTCGGCCCCCTCCCCAGCCTCACTCTCACCACTTGCCTCCCCCACCCCCAACCCCCAGCCACTGCCTAGTTTCAACTCCAGGTTTGGATGGTTGGCTGGTTGGCTTTTGCTTTCCAGATGGATCATTTTTTCTCTCCATCTGCCTCCTCTATGGCTCCGCTGGTGCCGTCCCTCTGTCCAGAGCATCCTGTCCTCCCTCCATGGGCCCCCTTGCCCTTTTGTCTGGTGAACTAGGTGGGTCTTCCCCTCCCCTGGCCTCTGCTCCCCCGTCACTACAATGACCATCTGTCTTATTGTCTTCTCCCCACCCTGCCCCAAACAGGGAGTGAGCTCGAGTCCTCCATGCACTCCATCATACCCCCAGCACCAAGCACAGGGTGGGAGCTTGGTGAATGAATGAGTGAGTGAATGAGTAAGTGTGGAAGAAAGCCTGGGCCCTAGAGTCAGGCTGATGTGGCCCCCAGCTCAGCCAGAAGCTGGGTAACCTTGAATGAGTCCTGTTCCCTCCCTCAGCCGCCATGCGTTCCTCTGAAAATGACCCACCGTTCCTGCTGCGCCTCCTGCACTGGTGGGCCCCACCCCTGCACTTGGACTGGTTCCGGAAGTGGCCCCAGAGCCTCCACCCTCCCACCCCGATGGCCAGAAGGGGAAGAGGGGTCAGTATCCCCAGACCGCTAATGACTTTGCATCCTGCGGTCCAGGGCTGATTTTTAAAAAACAGCTCAAAGTCCAGGTGGGCTTTGGAAGGGTTTGCTCTTTCTGTTTGCTCTGGTTAATCATCTCAGGAGAGCAAACATCTCTGGAGGCAGGTGGAGAGATCAACATCCGGGCATCTGCCCTCCCCCCAGGAGAGGCCATGGGGCTGCCTGCACAGTCCTGTCCAAAAGAGGCCACTGCTTGTCTTCACCCCCATGTGCCGCAGCCTTCCCGTGGGGCCAGTGGGGTGGACGACCCTGATGCCATCGTGCAGCCACGAGCAAGCTTCACAGGGGGTCTCTATTCCCACTGATTCGGTGATAGTGTCTCATTCTCCTTGCAGCTCGGTTTCTCCCCAGATGCCCAGAGCTCATCACCAGGTAGGAGAGTGGACACTTTACAAAGCACTCTGACCCACTGCCTCACTTGACCTCTTGGCAGACAGAACAAGGTCTGTTATCTTCAGTATACAAATGAGGAAAGTGGCTTCAGAGCAGGAAAGGCCTCTGCAAAGTTTGTGGAAAAGAAGTCAGGGCTCCTGGATCCCAGCTCTCTGAATGCCTCATAAATCAGACTGCCTTCTTCCTGCCACCGCTAACCAAACCGTAAAAGATCAAGAAATGTTGTGAACTAGAGGGAAGGTCATTGTCCCAGAAATCTAAGCTGAGATGGTTGGTGTGATAAAGCTTGTAACGTGGCTTTGAGCTTCCCAGCAGCCAAAGCAAAGAGGAAATGCTGTCAGTAGCCAAGCTGTTGGTGATGGAGCCAAGGAAACACTCACTTAGGAATAGAGACATTTGTTCCTGCTGCTGGGAGAGAGCAAATGTATTGGGTGGCTCCTACAGAGGGATGTGACACACCATTTGCTGGTGCCACTGGGTGGAAGAGGGGAATTCCTGGATTCTCACATGAATATGAATTTTGCATTTGGAGCCCTCTGAAGGGGGCATGCGCAGCCATAGCAGGAGGCCTTCTGTGAGTCTGGAATGTTCCATGTCAAGAACAGGGAGGAAATAAGGACAGTGGCTCTGATGGCTGGGAAAGAGCTTCACAGGGAGGGTCTGCGGTAGCACTGGCAAGAGTTTGAGCTTTGGAGACAAACAGACCTAACTTTTTTAAAAAATTCTCTTCAAAATTGCTTAATGTACAGTATACAGTTTCCTAAGGCTGCCGTTAACAGAGTATCATAGCTGGGTGGCTTACAAGTGTGTTCTCTCACAGTTCTGGAAGCTGGAAGTCTGACACTGGACTGTCATTGGGCCCACAGTCTCCCCGAAGTTCCTAGAAAAGAATCCTTGCTTGCCTCTTCCTAGCTCCTGGTGAGTACCAGCAGTCCCTGGCTTGCCTTGACTTGTGGCTGGCTCCCACCTCCGTCCCCGTCTTCACGTGGCGGTCTTCCCTGCACGTCACTGGGTCTGTGCGTCTGAGTCTCACTCCCCTTTCTCTTCCTAAGACACCAGGCGTTGGATGGAGGGCCCACTCTCATCCAGTGTGACCTCATCTTAACTAGTGGCCTCTGCAGGTGAAGTCACATTAAGGTCCCAGATGCACACGAATTTTGCGGGAGATAGTATGTTCAACCTGCTGCAAACACATTCACCTCTTACCACATGCCACACACTGCCTTCGGTCTTTGCAAAGCGTGGTGCCCATGACCTCATGATAGCGCTGTGAACCAGCAACCAGTGTCCCCATTGACTGGTGAGGAAGCCCAGGCACTGGGAGGACACGTCACTTGCCCAAGGCCAGCACCGGGTGTGGTCTAGCTCTGGAGTCCGTCTTCTCTACTGCCACCCAGTGCCGCCTGGCCTAGCAGCTCTGCTTCCCAGCAGGGAGCCCCAGCTCCCTCCCAGAGACTCAAGTCCTCTGTCTTTATTTTCTATTTTTTGTAAAGATTTTATTTACTTGAGAGAGAGCGTGTGTGCATGAGCTGGGGGGGAGAGGCAGAGGGAGAGGAGAAGCAGGCTCCCCGTTGAGCAGGGAGCCCCACGTGGGGCTCCATCCCGGGATCATGACCTGAGCCGAAGGCAGATGCTTAATGACTGAGGCAGCAAGGCCCCTCAAGTCCCCTGTCTTGAAAGGGGAGAAATAGCACCTACTTTCTAGGTTCTTGTAGGGGTGGAATTCAAGTCTGTGCCGTGTGTACAGCGTTGGTGTAAAGCTGGCACAGAGCAGGTGCTCAGGGAATGGCAGCTGCTGTGGAAATCATCGTCATTATTCCTGCTGCTATTTGCCACAGCTTCAGGAAGCCAGGGCTCAGACAGGGAACTCTGGGGATGGGATGCCTGAGTTCTCGTCTGGGCTGTGCCTGTAGACCCTCCCCCCTACCAACCGATATGGTCTCTGCTCCGTTGTTTCTTCTCCCTGGGCCTCCGTTTTCACCTGCGAGGAAGGGGCCCGATGGGGCTCACGCTGCTGGCTCCTGGAGCAGGAGGTCCAGGCCGCTGACCCGGTGGGAAAGGCGACAGGCTGCTCCTCTCTTTTCTGCGGGGAGCCAGTCTGGGGCCTGAAGCCCGTGCTGGGCTGCCTCCGGGCTGGGTTGTATTTGGCCAGCGCCTTCTCTGAAACAGCCGCCCTGACCCCTTGGGACCACTGACCCCAGGCAGGACACTGCAAGGGATCGATCAGACCCGGCCTCAGGGCCCTGATTGGTTCAGGCTGAGCAGGGCAAATACCAAGGTCACCTACAAGCAGCTGGCCCCCTCCCCAGCCTCAGTTCACAACTGCCGTGGGCAGAGAGGCCTTGTGTCCTCTGTCCCCAGCCTGAGCCTGCGAGTGACTCCCAAGGCAGGAGAGCCCAGAACCATGTGGAGTCTCAGGGCTGTGTTTCTGCTACTGACTGCGGGCCTGGCCGTGAGTGCCAGTCCCGTGGTGACGCCACCCGACGACATCCAAGTGCAAGAGAACTTCGACATCTCTCGGGTAAGGCTGGCCTCTCTAGCGGCCATGGCTTTATGTGGGGTGGCGGGGGGCAGGTCTCCTGATCTGGAACTTGGGGCTGGGTCCCTCGGGGCCCTTCCCGGGGTTCGCTGAAGTTACGCTATGCACCTGCTGTTCCGTGGGCCCCTTGTCTGACAATCTCACGATCTCACATGTGAACCTGCCCTCCGGGGCTCAGGGGGCTCCTCACCTTCCACTAGAGATTACAGGCCCCCCTCACCCGGGAAGTCTCCTGTAGCCACCTCACAGTGCTTAACTTCTTGTGACTTCCTGCCCCCTGCCCCCCGCCAGCCCTTCAACTCTCGGCTGCTCCCCTCTCCCCATAGCCCGTTACCATCCCGGGTGCTCTGCTCTTGCAGGCCTGGCTGTAGACAGAGATCCCGGGTGGCACAGGGCAGATGTGGGATACTGGGGAGAAGCAGGACGGAGATGGGGCTGGTGAGATTAAGAGGGCTGGGCAGGCGGTGTGTGCAGGAACCCCAGGACCACCTTCCAGTACCCGCTCTATCCCCAATCACTGGGTGACCTTGAACAGGACCTTGCCCACACGGGTCTCAGTCTCCACGTTGGTATAAGGGGCTCTCAGACCCTTCTAGCTGTGGATTTTGTTTATGCTCGGAGACAAGCAGGGGTTGTGGGTGGAGGGGCACTGTGGGGGGGGTCCTGCGGTGGTCTGGGTTGGTGAAGGGTTAGAGGCTCACTGACTTGTTCCCTGGGATGTGAGGGCTTAGTCACCTCTCTGCTGTGTGGCCAGAAAGGGTAGCAGGATTGTCCTGAGATAGTTCAAGGAGAGGAGATCCTTTCTAGCACGGAGCTATGGGCTGCCTGCGAGGTACTGAGCTCCCTGTCCCTGGAAGGGTGAAAGACAGTTGAAGGTGACCTTCAACCTTAGGGCTTTGGGCCTCATGCAAGCGAGCAGCACAGATCTGTACCTAAGCAGAGCAAGGCCCTCCACGGAGCGGGGTGGGACCCCATCTGCTCCTCCCCTCCTAGGTTTGCTGTAAGGAGGTCTGTCCTTCCTTGAAACTGCATGGCCTCCAGTTAGCTCTCTGACATTACAGCTTCTCATTGAGAGGAGGGAGGGAGGGAGGGGAGCAGGTGTCTGGCAAATCGTCTTTGCGGTCTGAGGCAAACCCAGATCCTCAGAGCTTGTGGCTGCCTCCTAGATCTACGGGAAGTGGTTTCACGTGGCCATGGGCTCCACCTGCCCATGGCTGAAGAAGTTCATGGACAGGATGTCTATGAGCACGCTGGTGCTGGGCAGGGGGGTGACAGACGGGGAGATCAGCATGACCAGCACACGTTGGCGGTGAGTGAGGGGATGGGGTGGGAGGGACGAGAGGCCAAGGCCCACCTGTCACCCCTGCCTAGCTTTGGTCACCACCCTGTCCTGGAGAGTTGAGCTGTCTCCTCCCAGCGGAGACCTTGCCTCTGAGCTCCAGGTCCCTCCAGCAAGACACGCCTTTTGTACTGTCCCATCAGCACCTCTGGGCCACGCCCCAATACGTGCCTATTTCAGAACCTGCTGTCAATCCTTGGGTGTCCCTTAGCTCAGGGCCCATCCAGGCCCCAGGACCTGACCTTGAAACCTGGGCGGGAGGCAGGTGCTGAGACTCCTCCCTCTGCTGCCACAAGCCATTCAGTCCACCATCAGGCCTTGTCCTTTCTCTTCCTAAATCCCTTCACGCTGTCTGCCTCTCCATTCTGTACCGTCCCGTCCCGGCCCTGGCCCAAGCCACCTGCCTCTCTTCCTGGCTCTCTACAGCAGCCTGCCTACACTTCTCCCCACCTCTAATCTCAAACCTTTTACCCAGCAAACAAAAGATCTCTTAAAAACTCAAGTCTGCTTAAACCTTTCCATAGCATCCTGTGGCCCTTGGGAATAAAATTCAGATCACCTCCCAGGCCCCTCCCAGCACTCACCAGGTACTCTGTGACCCACCCAAGTAGACCTTTCAGTTCCTGGAACTTTCTACCGTTTCACCCCTGATGTTCCTTCTCCTGGGAAAACTTCTCCCCATCTCCCTGGGCTAATTCCTATAGACCCTTGAAGACTCAGGTTCTATGTCACTTTGTCCAGGAAGCCCTCCTTGACTAACTCCCCCCCCCCCCCCCCAAGGTTCAGGTTACATGCCTTCCTTTATGCTCTTGGAGCACCTCAGTCTTCTCCCTGCATGGCACATGTCACACTGACTGCATCTGTCTCTGGCCTGCCCCTGGGCCCCACTCAGCTGTAAGGTCTGTGAGCAGACAGAGTCCCTCTTGCCCTCCTCTGTATCCTCAGCAGGTAGCACAGGGCCTAGTACATAGATGTAGCTTGATAAATGTTCATAAGGCAATTAGCAGTCATTGTAACAACAGCTGGTATGTTCATAGTGCTTGCTGGAAGCTGTTTAATAGTATCCCATTGGACCCTCACAACCGCCATGTAAGGAAGGCTTCATGAGCCCCATTTCACAGATGAGGGAACTGGGGCCAGAGGGATGTAGGGTAATAAACACATCAGAGCACTCACTCATCACCCTCCCCTCCCCTCCCCTCCCCGTGCTGATGTGCAGATTTGGGGAAGGAAGCGGATGTTTAGTGCTGGCTTTGGCAAGAGGATGGCACGGACGTCCCTTTTTTCTCTGTCCCTCTGTTCCTTTACACGTGAACTGGTCCCCTAGGACTGGTGTGAGGCTTAAGACATTTGAGAGTGTTACTTTCCAAATTACAAAAAGAAAAAAAAAAAAGTGGAAAGGACCCTGGGGGAGAGTGGGTTGTCAGGACCTCGGTCTCTCCCAATGGTTACCTTTCTTCTGGTTTGTCCACCTCCAGGAGAGGCACCTGTGAGGAGATCTCCGGGGCTTATGAGAAAACCAGCACCAACGGAAAGTTCCTCTATCGAAAACCCAGTAAGTTGAGTAGGAGGGTTCCCCGCAGTTCTGCCCTTGGCCGAAAAGACCTCGACGTGTCTTAAGCTCTCTCTGTTTCTGCGTCGGCTCTCTGCGCCCCTAAAGCCTCCCCTCCCATTTTTCTGAGATGTCCTCTCGGCTTCCTTCTCCTTGTCCTCCTTTGCTCTCTCCTCCTCTCTCGTGCACTCATGGGCATCCAGAACGAAAGGGATGTTGCTGCATTCTGAGGATAACATGAAGATTTCGTCAGCCCTGATGGTGGGCCTCCACAGTGAGCTGAGAAGCATTTGCTAAGCATCTCCCATGTACAGTATGCACGGGGCTGAGTGGCAGAGAGACTTGGACGTGAATTTGTTCATTCGTCCAGCAAATGTTTATCGAATATGCTGTATGTGTTGAATAATCGCATTAGTGGTTGAACATATGAATGTTCGGGTAGATGGATGGTTAGAAAAAAAGATGAGTGAATCAAGCAGCGAGTGATTGGTCAGTGAATGTAGATACGGATGGCAGGTGAGTTAGTCATCGGACAGATCAATTGATAGATTAATGGATGGAGGGAGAAAGGAGGGTAGAAAGGAAGGAAAGAAGGAAGAAGGGAAGGAAATAGATGGATTTATGGTTTGATGTATGGAGAGGATGGATGGATGGAATGACAGTGGATGGATGGAATGACAGTGGATGAATTAATATACGGAGGAGACGGATGGATAGACAGAAGGCTGGATGGATAGATGATGTGTGGGGCAACAGGTGAAGGACCTCAGGCCAGAAGAGCCTTCTGACCACTGATCCCTTTGGCTTCTTGCATTGCCCATGCAGAATGGAACATCACCATGGAGTCCTACGTGGTCCACACCAACTATGATGAGTATGCCATCCTTCTGACCAAGAAATTCAGCCACCGCCACGGGCCTACCATCACCGCCAAGCTCTATGGTAATGGCCTGGAGCTAGATAAGCCCGTGGGAGTTGGGGGTGGGAAGGAGGGCCATGATTTAGGGACAGTGGAGTGGGGAGGAGTTGGGAGCTTTGCTTTATCCTTCTGAGAAAACTCCAGCTATGGGGAAGGTAGAAACATTTACTCTTCCTGGAGGAGGCAGAGCTCAGTCTTCCATCAGGTAGAATCCTCTTTCGGTCTTTTAAGATTCTAGGCCTAGAGAATTCCAGAGCTTCCAGGCCCTTAACCAGTGGACAGAGCCATGTGTGGGGATTTGGGGGATATGGGCGGGAGGCTGGGAGGGACACCTCTTCCTCTTGTGGGAGCCAATCTTTCCATAAGTGTTTTGAAGAGATCGCATTGGGCTGATGGTTTTTAACTTCTAAATGAAAATCCCTGCGTACCAAAATCTCAGGCCTTGCCAGTCCAGGCACCCGTGGTTCTAGGTGTCTTTTCTGCTTCCACTACAGGGCGACAGCCGTATCTTCGAGAAAGCCTGCTGGAGGAGTTCCGGGAGGTCGCCTTGGGTGTGGGCATCCCCGAGGATTCCATCTTCACAATGGCTGACAAAGGTAAATGCAGCCCCAACCCCCATCGCAGTTCTGCCCCCTCCTCATTCTTCACAGCCCTCCGAGAACATCTTCCCAGCCCCTGGGTACTTCCTGCAACCCTCTGAGGTAAGTAGGGTTATAGTTCCCCCTGCACCCATCTTACAGAGGAGGCAGCCGGAGCCCCCGTATTTGCTCCAGGTCACACAGCATATACCCGGGAGAGCAGAGACCGGATCCAGTTCAGAGTCCCCCCTAGTGCCACCTGTTTCAGTAAGGTTATATCCAGAACCCACAGGCACGTCTTAGGAGGCAGTTCAGTGCTGGACAGGATTTCACGTGCAGCTGGAGGACTTCTGGCTACTCCGCCTTCCAGAGCCTTGTTTTCCTTATCTGTAAAATGGGGGCTAATAATGCCTCCCTTAGACGTCACCGTGAGGAGTCACCGAAATAGCATTTAAATACGGCAATGCTGTGCCTGGTGTCTGCCAAGGGCTCGGTGGAGGTGAGCCGTTGCCGCTGGTGTCTTGGCGCCTGCGGCAGTGACGGCGCGGCGACCAGCCTGTTGCTTTGCCAGTAATGACCTTCAGCACGCCGCATGTGTGGAACCATTCTTGAAGTGGGCAGATGCCCGAGACCGGTCCCTGATAGTGCCCGCCTGGCACACACAGTTAGCATGATGCAAGAAACAGAGCGCTCTTACTCACCTCTTTCTCCCATCCTGACCTAGGTGAGTGTGTCCCCGGGGAGCAGGAACCGGAGCCCACTCCGCACACGGTGAGCACCTCTTTTTCCCGCTTTGTCCCCACCGCACCTGATTCTGCTGCCCTCACTCAGGTCCTGCAGTGGTGGGTGGGTGGGTGGGGCCACTGAGAGAGGTGGAGAGAAGGCAGGGCTAGGCACAGGGCTTTGAAGTCAGACCCCCCAGGGCTCAACCCCAGATCTACCATCTGGACCAGTTGCAGTCCCATCCAGACTTGACTTTCCTCTTCTGTGAAATGGGGTAGTTACCCTTACCTTCCATGTGCTAGAATTCAGGGATGTGTTGGAAAAGTTCTTCGCGCCGTACCGCCCACAACCAGCAGAATACTCAGTGATGGAAGGACGATGCTCAGTACTCAAAGGATAAAGTCAGTTGATCTCTTAAAAAAAAAACTATAAACCTGAGAGCAAGCAGATTCTCAACCAGCTCACCTCCCTATTCTGCCTTTTGATTTTTTGGGGCTTCCTTACTCTTCTGGTTTATTTTCCTGCCTTTACCATATTGATTAAGCTTTTTTCATTTTTTTCTGTGATTATTTGGAAATTATATATCCTAATTTATCCTACTGTTGTGTGTGTATATATAGGTATGTGGGTGTGTATATTTCTATATGTACATGTATATTTGTATATATACATTTTCAAGGCTGTTTCTAAGCAAATACACAACCTAAAAATATCAGAAACATAGGTTTGGAAATTTAAAAAAAAATACCAGAAAGTAAAAAAAAAAAAAAAAAAGTGTCCCTATTCCTATATAGAATTAATACTGTTAATCTATTACTTGTTTGTACCTGTATTTTTAAAGAAAAATTACCACAGATTTTATAAAAGTAACATATGCTCATTGTTAAGAACTAAAATTAGAAAGTAAAAAATAGTTTAAAAACTACATAAAGAGTTAAAAAAAAAATGCCACCACCCAAAAACTACCAGCATTCACATTATCCCAGGAATCGTGACACACCCACATGTGGAGAGGAGGACAGATGTAAGGAATGTTAGATGGAGAGTTGCACAGATTAGGGAGTAGTGATATTAAATGGTATTACATCAGAGATGCTATTTTTAGGTCTTTAAAGCACTAAGTGTAGTTTCATTTGAATTTTAAAAAAATGAGTGGGCTTCTCGAACTTCCAAATAAGCGTCTGCCACCATCTTTCCCAGGCATGGAATAAGAGTTCTCTAGTTTCCACACTCTCTCCTAGTGAATGTAACCACACAGCTTCTCCATTCCTGAGTCAGTGATTTCTGTTAATCTCTTCATTAGTGCCCCTTGTTCACCAAGTGGTGTTTTCATGAAAGGTTTTGGGCGTTTTAATCCCTGAATTCGTCCCTGTTTGAGAAAGCCTGCCCCTTTCCTTCACACTGAGTGGCATTTTACTTGGGCGTCAGAGTCTTGGGTCATGTTGCCTTTCCCTCAGAACATTGTTTGCACTGCTCTGTTGCTCTTGAGCACTAATTATGGCTCTGGGATAGCCTGAGGCCAGTCTGGTATTTCTTCTCCTTGTAAGCAATTTGTTTCTTGTGCCCAGATGCCTGGACAGACTTTATCCTTGAAGATAGCTACATCTTTTTCTTTTCTTTCGCTCTCTGCTTCTTCTCTCTCCTTCCTTTCCTTTCCTTCCTTCCTTTTTTTAAAAGGTAGGCTCTAAGCCCAATGTGGGGCTTGAACTCACGACCCTGAGATCAAGAGTAGCATGCTGTACTGACTGAGCCAGCCAGGCGCCCTGCACTCGGCATCCTAACTAGGATAGGTCTTGGTGCTGAGCCTTCCATATCGGAGGTTTCTGGGATACACTGTGCTCTCTCCATCCACAGCTTTCAGTCTTTCCGTTTTCGGGGACTCTCTTGTACTAGATGGAATTCATCTTCCAGTCCCGTTTTGGGTTTTGCTACCTCGGGAACCCTTGCTCTTTCGTCCTGGAGCATCTTTTTGTCTTTCACACGTGGCAGGCATTCTCACGTTGCTTTCGCTGGCATTCACTGGGATTCTCACTTGTCTCTCTTGTATAACAGTCATTCCATGTCACAGGGTCTATTCTGTTCCTGTGGCGGTTTCTGACTTAGTATCTCTGAACGTATGTTGTCTTGGTTCTCAACTTGTTTATCTAGGCCCTCCCTGGGTCCTCTCTCTTCATCTTATTCTGTTGTTTACCATTTTGTCTTTGAGTCTTGTTTTTAAGTACCTGTTTTCGTGAAGTAATTCTGCTGCTTGAGGCCACTGAGGAATGTCCTTTGGCTTGCTGAGTTATATTCTCTCCCACGTTGGTGTCGTAGGTGGGGTTTCCTAGATCCACACCTGTGGAAGGGAAGAGACAAAGGAAGGATTGAGCAGAAGCAGCAGAGCTGTGATGTGGTCCCGATGCCTCAGCCAGCCCTGGGAGCATTCTAGAACTGGGAGGGCCCTTTGGAGTTGTCCCATGAGGGCCCCAAGGGGTGGGGCCTTAACACCCTTACGTTGCTCACTCTGGCGAGGAAGCCGACCTCGAGTGAGAGGGGTCCTGTTGGCTGAGGCAGTTTCCAACAGGGCTTTCGGGTCAGGCTGGAAATGTGACTCCATTCCTGAGGGGACATCTAGGCAGTTCATGACCGGAGCCCACCACAGCCAGGCCTCTGTTTCTGGTTCAGGCTAGTTACTCCCTCATTTCATACATGGGTCTGGATAGTCCCTGTACCATTTCTTCACCTTTTCTTCTTGCTCCTGCCTCGTCAGTTTTCGCCTGTCTGTTCTAATTCAGTCCTTGACCCTTTCTTTCCCCACTAAAACTGAGCCGAGTGCCCAAATGTAGTCTAAAGTCTAGGTGTTTTATGTTCCATCTACTTTAATGAAATCCAGGGAAAGGGTCAGAAGGGAGTAGGGGCGGAAGAGCTTTCCTCAGGTGTTGCTTGCTTTCTCTTTTGAAGAACTTTTTAATGTCCTGTGTGGGGTTCGTTCCTCCTGGTCAGGGCAGTGACATCCATTTGTCAACATCCCCGGTGCCTCAGATCGTGTAGCCCCAGAACGTTCACCTAGAACAAGTCGGCCGCTGGTCTGTTTTCCCCTTTCCTTCCCAGAAGCCATCTTCACTATTCCTCTGTCAGAAGAGGAAAAAAGATAGGATCCCTCAGTTTCCTTCTCTCAGGATTTGGGAGTCTTAGGGAGAAGTATCAGAAATTTGATGACTTGGGAATTAGAGGGCAGAGTTAGGAACTGACCCTCCTCTTCAGCTCCAAAATACTTGATTTCTTTCCTTCATCAACAGTTTTAGTTTTTGCTTTAAACTATGCCCCTTTCCACGACTGAGTGAGCTGATGAACATTTGGAGATCGGTATTCTGAATTCACTTTTTGCTGTTAGGTATTGGAGAAGGCAACTGGAAATGAAATTTCAATTTGACATCTTAATCCAGATCCCGACGGATCTGTATTTCTTTATCAGCATCAAGAATGAAACCGTAACTAGTGACTCCCCTTGCAGAAAAGAGAAATGGAACACACTTCCACTTCTTCCTTCCAGGCTTCCCACATCCCTGCCTTTGTGGATGTAATCCCAGATTGACGTTTATATTTTCCACCCTTTGAGAATTAAGTTGTATGAGCTTTGTAACAAACATTTAACCTCAACTCCCTATTTGATTGGCTTTGGTTTCTGTCATCTTCTCTTTGCTATCACATCACCTGTTTTCCTGCACTTAGATTCCCTTCTCAATCAGTGGGGATATATATCTATTTTTAAGATTCTGAGTAATTTCTACATCCTACGTGGGGCTGAAATTCACAACCCCCATGTTCTACCAACTAAGCCCCCAGCCAGATGCCCTGGAATATTTCTGGAAGTAGTTTTTTTTTTTCTGGATAAACACACAGGTGGAAAACTCCCAGATCCTTGCATGGGTGAAATGCCTGCCTGTGTTTAGATCACATGGTCAACAGCTTGGATGAGTGTAGAATCCCAGGGTTACCTCTGCCCTCTTACAACCCTCAGAGGCTGCTCTGCGGCCTGTCCCTTAATGCTGCTTACTCCAAGGGCCACTGGGCTCTTTACCCTTGTCTCTAGGGAATGTCTAGGTGGGGGCTCTTCACTCATTCTGCCTCATTCCTTCTGATCCCTACTTAAAATTAGCCAACTCAAGTCATTATTCAACACAGCAAAGTCTTCTTCTGTTATTTCTATACTGACTGCCTCTCCTTCCAGAATTCCTACTATGAATTTATTTCTTATAATCACTAACCTGCGGTGTATTATCTCTCCTGTGTGGTTAAATTCATCAGAATCCTTTCCAGGTCCAGTAACGTTCTCCTCCTTTCATTCTGTTCATTTCCGTCACAGGCGGCCCTGTGATACTGATGCACTGTCAGCTTGAATGTCACCGATGGTTTCGGTTTCCACCTGGTTCCTGCCGACGCCCTGTGTGCGGCGGAGCTAGCTCTCCAGCAGCGGCGTTGTGCACAGTGTGCCATGATTTTTCCCTTTCCCTTCGTGCTCCCCAAGGCAGGCCCGTGTGCAACCAGCTTGACAGCAGGGATCCCTGAGCACAGCCTTTAGCGGTACCTTACAAGGCGAAGGGCCGTGGTGAAGGTTAGCACACGTGTACTTGTTCAGAGTCCGGATGGAGAGGGAGGAAGGCTGCGTGCTGCTGGCTCTCGCGGCCCGGGACCCTGCCACAGTGCGCTGTGCGCTCCGGGAGGCTCTCGCCAGCGTTCAGCATCCTGCCCCGCTCTTCAGCCCCTGGTGCCAGAGCTAGAGGTGTTAGGGGCAGCCTCAAGGTCGCTTCTCCATCCTCTCTCTGTGGATTTTCCTTTGCAAGGAGCGGAGGATGATGGTCTGGTCAGCCCTTCCTGCAAATCCTTCCCACCTGTTCACTGCCGCGTAGCAATGCCCTCAGGTTTCTGGCACAGCAATGCTGCCTTTCCCTGGCAATTCAGATAGACGCCGCCCTCCCCCCCATTATTTTATTCCTTTGGACATTTCGGCCAGAATTTGGACACAGGGGTATTGTCACACTTCACGGTTCTGAGTTTCCTTTCAGACTAGAAACCTCTCCTGTGACGCCCATTCTGGGATGGAGGTTGATGCTTCGGGGAAGACAGTCCATTAACCAGTGTAGTTATCGTGCTCTGTCTACACCCTGATTCCCCAAGCACGTGGTGTGTTTATACACTCCAGGGGTACAGGTGAGCAGTGGAGGCAAGGTGCCCGCAACAGCTTGTCTCCCTCTCCTCCGCAGAGAGCCCGGCGGGCTGTGCTGCCCCAGGAGGAAGAAGGGTCGGGGACCGGGCAACTGGTAACTGACTTCCACAAGAAGGAAGGTAACGGCCACTCACCTCTCCACCGGCTTCTGTCACACTCCGGGGAGGAAGGGCCCATGGGGGGCTCACCCGGGCTGCCCTCACCACCACAGTCTCTTTCTTACTTGTCTGCTGGGCAAGGACTGGAACTAGAAAAGCCGAGTCAGGCCCCCTCAAAACTTGTAGGTCCAGGAGGAGCAAGTTCCGGCCCTGTCTGCAGCACTGTGTGGCCTCCCAGCCTCGGTTTCCCCCTCTGTGGCTGGCACAAGAGCTGGCCACGCTCTCCATCAAGGCTTTTGTGGGAGCATGTTGGAGAAGGACGGGAGCACGCTGTGTGTAGCTGTGTTTGCAACGGACTCCCCACCTTGCCCCCCCAAACACTGAGCCCTGCTCCACCCTGTGGGGGTACTGGGGTCACGGAGACAAACCCCCATCTTTTTGGAACTTGTGGTCCAGTAGAGGAGACAGGCAGGGGGAAATTGATGGACTCAAAAGGGAAGGTTAGCTAAAGGGTTGGGGGAGCCCAGGATGGAGGGGTAAGGGGATCAAGGAGTACTTCCTGGATGAAAGGAAGTCCTGCTTTGTCCAGGCGTCCAGGTAGGGCTCTCTGCAGGACGGCATTTCAGGGGCAGGAGCGAGGGGAGCAAAGGCACGGGGGCAGGACTTCAGAGAAAAGGTCCCGCTGGCTGGCCGGGGAGCTGGTGGATGAATGCCTCGTCGGCTGCTGTTACCAGTGTCTCGGGACGGACTAGACCAACATGGGGTAGCTGGGGTGGGGCCTGGGGGCCGCTGCAGTACAGAGCGGAGCAGGCACGGACTCTGGAGTCCAGCAGACACATCGTTTTGAACCTCAGGGCTGTGTGACCCCAGGCAAGTCACTTTACCTATCACAGTTCATCTCCTTGTCTTCCTCACAGCGCAGAGGGGAGAACTAGGTGACAGGGTGCCCGGTAAGCATCCGGCCTGGTGACAGGCACACGGAAAGTCCTCAGTGCGTGCTGCCATTTTGCCCCTCCCCAGACTCCTGCCAGCTGGGCCGCGCGGAAGGCCCTTGCCTGGGGATGGTCACGAGGTTTTTCTATAACGGCTCCTCCATGGCCTGTGAGACCTTCCAGTATGGTGGCTGCCTGGGCAACAGGAACAACTTCGCCTCCGAGAAGGAGTGTCTGCAGACCTGCCGGACCGTGGGTGAGCGTGGGCCCCTCCTGCAGCGCACGCCGCAGTCCCCAGCCCGTGCTCCCAGCAGGCTACCTGCAGGGTGGACGGGGAGCGGGGCGGGGATGTGTCCGGGGTGGGATTCCAGGACGGGTTTCCTGAGGTCACAGGAGCCACGCCCTGGGACTGCGGGATGCGGGCCAGCCACTGGCTGGTGTGGGCTCCAGGTTCCCCGGGGCTGGAGGGGCCCGGTGCTCTCTAGGAGCAGGTGCCCTGGTTCGGGCCCTTCACTGGGGGTCTTGAGGGTCAGCTGAGTGTCAGCGTTGCTCACAATCTGCACCTGCCCCCCGCCTCGCAGCGGCCTGCAGTCTCCCCATCGTCCCCGGCCCCTGCCGAGGCTACCACAAGCTCTGGGCATTTGACGCTGCCCAGGGGAAGTGCGTCCCCTTCATCTACGGGGGCTGCCAAGGCAACGGCAACAAGTTCTACTCGGAGAAGGAGTGCAAGGAGTACTGCGGGGTCCCCGGCAATGGTAGGTGGCCCGGCGGGGGGGGCCCCTGGGGTGCAGGCGGGGGAGCCTTGGGAGGAGGTGGGGATCTGGAGAGGCAGTTCTGGGCCCTAGCAGGTGACCAGCCCACCCCCCTCCTCGGGTCTTTCGCCCATCTGCAAAATGGGGCTAAGCCCCAGGCCTTCCCCCAGCTGGGATGCTGCACTGGGGAGGCACTGGCCAGACCCGGGCACTTGGCTGAGCCGGGTCCCAAATCTGGTGGAGCCCCCTGCGGGCTGGCCACGTTGGGCGAGTGCCAGCTTGAGCCTTGGCTTTTACTTTTGTAAAGTGGGACAGAGAACCCACTTGGCCGACCTCACAGCACCTCGTGCACTTTGGACTCGGCTGATGGCAGCTGTGACCAACGCTGAGGGTGAGGCAGTGATGCCAACGGTTGTGGCATTGCGGGGAAAAGCAACCCTCTGACCCCCGTGCCTTAAACGGCACTTAGAGTCGACGAAAAGAGGCTAAAACCCAGACTGTTCTGAGGAATGTGCTTTGGAGATACCAAGTCGTTCCGGAAGCGGAGGTTTCTGACCCTGAGCTCAGGTCCAAAGCAGCCCAAGCTGCCTTCCCTGGTTCACGAGGCATCCCCATCCCCTGACCGTCCCCATCCCTGGACCCCAGGGGCTCCCCACACCTACTCCCTGAGCTTCTCTGTGTCCTCAGGGGACAAGGAGCTGCTGCATTTATTCAACTGACGGGGCCGCCGGATGGCCAGGAGGCTGCGGCCTGCTGCGTGTCCCAGGGGCCGGGTTCAAAATAAAAACCAGCCTGTGGAGTCCTTAAGTTCCATGTTGTGGCTGTTCATTGTCCTCATGTGTGTACCGAGGTAGCAGGGAGGGGGGAGACCAAGCTGGGGATGGGGGGGGCCGGAGTAACCCCAGCTTCCCCCAGAAATGAAAAAATTTGTGCTGGAAATAGAACAGTCCTTGGTGTGTGAAATTGGCTACGCAAATTATGAGACCTTAATCATAGTTTACTCCACAGTAGTACAAAATGGGACTGTTTGTTTTATTAAAGCCAGAAAAGAGGAGGGGAGAAAAACCTCTGGGTACTTATTTCTGGGAGAGGCCTGACCAGGTCATCAGCTACCCAGGGTCGAAGAGAGGACTGTGCCCTCATGTGCCCAGGCCCCGGGCCAGTCACAGCCACTGACCCACCCTGCCTGCAGCAGTCTGTGTCCTGGGGCCACCAATACTTACTCCAGCGTCCTACCTTGGTCACAGCCCTGTCCCAGCACCAGCCGCCAGGGGATGAAAAGCCTCAGGCGGTTTCCCGACAAGGCTCTCGAGATCCCATCTCCTGGGAGCATCACTCTGGCCCTTTGCCCCGTCAGGAGAATATCACTGACCTTCACATGGCGTCTGGGACTGGCAAGGCACTGGAGCAGGGCCAGAAGCCCTCAGCCTGGCCTGGCTTGTCCTCCCTTGAGAAAGAAAATAGGCAGGCTGTCCACGGTGGTTTGGTCACCAACTTAGCCTCAGAACGTGACTCCAGGAGTTTCCAACGGGGACACACAGGATTTACAAGCAACTGATTTACAAATCCCTCTTGCTGGGTCCATCCACCCAGAGCCCGGAGAGGTGCTGCTGCAGGATAACCCTCCGGTTTTGTGTCCTCTGAAGTGGCGAGGCAAGCCGGCACACCTCTTCTCTGCAGGGTGACCCGTGTGCTGAGGGCTGGCACCTAATTCAATCAAGGGCCCCTCTCAGGCCATTAGCCCATTTGCTTATGAGACTCATAAGAAAGGAGGGAAGGACGGAGGGAGGGAGGGATGAATCCAGAGGCAAGGATTTGGGCACTAGAAAGCTTTGCAGCCCCCTTGGCCAGAACAGAGAGAGAGCCCCTGTTTCTCCCTAAAGTCCTAAGCTTGGAGTTTCCTGGTTCCTCCCAAGAGGACTGTCGGGAGGGGACAGTGTGCGGTCATGGCCAGGACTCTCAGGGTAGGAGTGGGTGGGTCAGGGGCAGGGACACAGGTGACTGTTCAGGGAGACCAGACAAACTCTGCCTGAACGAAGGTCACCATGACCTACGTCCATACCTTGCTTCCCCCCCCCACCCCCCGCCCCCATTCATGGCCTCCCCCCCCGCCCCCATTCATGCCACACGTATCAGGGCTGGCCACCTACGGTGCTCTGAAGGGGAATATTCTGAAAGGCCCTGACAGACAAACACCTCCAGCACAGACAGCAAGCCTCAGGCGGGAAGCAGCTGCAGCTGGAGACGGGATGCTGGCTCCTAAGATTTTTCACAGTTCCGAACTCACCATTTAAAAATGGGTCTTCCATTAAAAAAACCTAATGATTCTCCTGAAATACATGCCAGCAGCCGTGGGACAGCACCCCGCAGGCCATGGGGCAGGGGCTGAGGGGAGAAGGTCCCTCTGGCTGGGGGCTCCCCTGAGGTTCCCCAGCTGGCCTGTTGCCTTGTCAGGTCCCAGAGACGGACAGGCGAGGTCGAAGCATGTCTGTGCCCTGGAGTCCGGAGCCTGGGCCACTCACCCCTGCGGGCCCCAGAATCCTGTCGAGGCTGCCCAGAATGAAGACTCAGCGTGGTTCTCAAAGATCCTTACCTGAAATCCTCTCTTCAAGATACTGGTCACATCTGCTACAAAATCAGTACGGCTGCTTTAGTAACAACACGTACCCCTCTTTTTAAAAACCCAGAGGCTGGCCCTTCGGCTGCATGAAGGCTCTGGGCCATGCCCTTGGCCTTCTGGGACTGCGATGTCGGGGCTTGGGGGAGGACTCTTTGAGCTACAGGAGGCTCCTGACTTGTTTCAAATGACGTGGAAACTCCTCGATGAAACGTCAGTCAACCGCTCCTGTCAAGGATGCTCCACATGCGATCTGGTGTGGTTTGTCCAGCCAATCCATGCAACATCCTCTTCGGGGACCGCACCCCACCATCTGGTTGAGGCAGAGAGAAAGCACAACAGACTGTTTCGACAGCAGCACCCCCACGCGCTTCCGGCCCACTCAGACCGCTGCTCACCTTCTGGGGGGCCTCACCTCTCCTTTGACCTGCCCTCAGCTTGACTCGAAGCACTGATGTGCGTGCTGGGGGGTGCAAGGCTCCAGGTAAGACTGAGCTGAAGTCCACCCAGGCTGGTACCCTAGAGCTCACTGTGGAAGGCACAGATTTTTAACATGTTTAGAGCCACAGATGTCATCAGGAATCTGGCAAAGCCACACCCTTCCCTAGAGGGAAGACGATACAACACACAGTCACACAGGTCACCCAAGGTTGCTGAGTACAGGGCCACCAGAGGCAAGAGGCACAGCAGTGGCCACAAGGCAAATGTGGCTGTGTCCCTGAGACACCGGACATGTAGGATGCAGATTAAGTTCATCCTCCTTCCACGGGACAAGGGTCCCTAAGCAAGGCCCACAGGGGCCCTAGCACTGACCTCACATGGGCTGAGCCGACTCTGGGGCTGACGTGTCCGCTCAGCTGAGGAGACGATATCCCTGACCTCACTGTGCCCTTCAGCATGGCCTCCATCCGATTCTGTCGCGCCCAGCGGTCCTGCCTCTGGCCCGTCTCTGTTCCCCCCGCGCCGCGCTCCTCACTGGATGACATGTTCCCACGCCAAACCCAAGAAATAAGACCACACACCACCATCTTCCTAAAGGTTGTTTTATTGTAAAACCATAAATACAACACTGACATGAAATCATTTAAGTAACTGATCCTCTCTAACCATTAAAAGGATGTCTTTTTGCCTTGGCATCAACCAACTGGGAAATAATGTTGGAAGAATTCGGGGGACGGGGGGTGAATTCTGGGCTAGGGCTTTTGGCGATTTAAGGAACCAAGTGGAACCTTCCTCTTCTTCCTGGGAATGTCCCACTTTCGGACAAGAACAGACAGGTAAAAACAGCAACATTTAAACAGCTCAGTTTTAAATTTTATTACTCTGTAAAAATCTTTTTTTTTTCCTTTTTTTTATTTTTCCTGTTCCTTTCCTCCATTTGACATCAGAAAAAGTTTTAAACATCACAAAACTGATTTGGCTGTAAATGGAGATACAGTACCAAAACAAAGTGAAACGAAAAAACCCAAAGGACAAACAGAAAACCCTAACTAAACCCTCAAGTTTGGTCTCGGGGGTTTACAGATCACAAGAACCGTCAACTCAACCCCCATGCAACGTGACTCCTTGGAGTGCCGCCGGAACCACACCGACAACACGGGAGACCGCAAACAACGTCTTTTGTTAATTAACACAGCAAGGGTGACACTAGGTAACTTTTTTTTTTTAAATACAGTACATGGTACACAGGGCCCCAAGAGGGCCCCTGCATGAACCCCTCGTGAAGACTGGAGCCAAGCACTGGCTGTTTATAAAAATATTGTGTTGCTACAAAAGTATAAATTAATGCTACCGGTATTAAGAAATATTAAACACATAAAACTTATAAGGATTAAGAAAAATATTCATTAATACCTGTAGAAAACTCTGGCCTAAAAAAGATATTTTTTTTGTGTTTGTTTTTTTGTAAATTTTTTTTTGTATTTTTTTTTTTTTTTAAGATGACTTGAGTTTCTTGCACTCGGAGAGAGAGACACAGTCAGATGTGCCTATGGTATTGCCTAGAACATCTTTAACTACTGAGAAAGGACGGGGGTGGGGGGATGCACGCACGTGGTTACTGAGCGGGGCGTGGGCAGGAAGGGGCACCAAGGCTTTCTGAAGATTTACCTGATGTGAAAGAATCACCGACGTGAAGTTTGCGGGGGGAAAAGAAAAAGGATCAGAACACAAATGAAAAATAATTTACGCTTTTTAAAAAATATCTCTGCTTCGGGTGGTTGTACAAAATGATTTCCTGATGCTTGAGATCTGAATGGCCCCAGACGCACCGCCCAGCAGGTCCCCTCTCTCCCGGTTGGCGAGTCCCAGCCGCACACCAGTCCATGAGCTGGCTCACCACCCGGGGAACCCGGCCACCCTGGCTGGGCGGGAGGGAGGGCCCCGGGCAGGGACCGGCTGGCACCTGGGCTGTGGGAGGAGGCTTCCCTCCGGCTGGTCTCAGACCCCACGGTCTCGGCCAACTGGACGTCAGGAAGCGCCACAGGGATCCCAGGCCCCTGAGGTTGTGGACAAGGCTGGGCTGTGCCCCTTTAAGGAACTTTGGTTCGAAGAGTCAAGGTGCCCAGTGGGGATGCGCGGGTGGGTGGGACCCGTGGGTCCCGATGCTGACGCCCGACTGCAGACCTAGCCAAACCTTCTCTGGACAGGAGTTGGGTCTCAGAAGCAACACCCGTGGCGGCGGCGGGGACGTGAATACAGTGAACAGCGACCCCGGGATCTTCACCCTCATCAAAGCGGAAGCAGGTGCCTCCTCTCCCAGAAACCACAGGGCCCCCTCCGGGGAAAGGCAGGCCTCTACTGACCACGACCCTCAAACCCAAAGGAGAGAGGAAGAAAAACAAAACGGCGACAACAAAATCCTCCAGAAAACCCTGAAGAGGGAACCCAGGAGGTTAACATAAGAGGAAAAACAACACCGTATCATTGGTTCACCATAACTGGCCTAGCAAACATGAGCCACAGTGAAGAGAGGGGCAGGCCCAGCTGGAGCTGGGGGCTGGGGCAGGGCCGGCAGGGCTGAGCCCGGAGCCCCCGCCTACCGTCTCTAGGGAACAGCCTGGGCCGGACTCAGCCTCTCCGTTCTAACCAGCAGCCTTTCCAGGAGCTCCCCGTCAGGTACATCCCAGGAAAACAGGCGTTGCCACCATTCTCAAGGCCAAGGGCAAAGCTATGAACTCACCCCAGCTCAGCTGGGCAGGAGGCGGCTGCCCACCACACCCCGTGTGCCTCCTCTTCCCGTCTTTTCGAGCGCGCCCATCATGGTGACAACATCCAGGCACCGTCCCCTTCCCGCCTGTTGCTTACGGGACCTTTCTCCTCCATCCGCAATCCACCTTCACTCCGAACCTTTCTTGGGAACGTGTGGCCCCCGAGAGTGTGCACCGTATCCCTGATGTCTCTCTAGGTGGTCCCTCGCCGAGAAGTCTAGTCCCAGTCCGGGCAGTAGCTGGTGGCCTCAGCCGAGCACAGGGGACCCCCGAAGGCCGAGGTTCGGCTTCACAGTGGAAAACACGCCTTGCAGAGTTTTTCCCTGGTGTTTCTTCAAAGTGCAGGAAATAAAAGAGGAAACTCAAGGGGAGAACACTTGCCAGTTTACGAACCAGGTGTAAAAAGAAAGTCCTTCCTTGGACCGTTCTCTCCTGACCAGGAAACCTTTGTACCCTTTTCCCACCAAGAGCCAAAGCCTGAACTCGAAGCCCAAGGCTGTCGGGTGGCACGTGCTCGGGGATCCCGCAGCAGCTTTGCTCACGAGGCCCTTCCGTTTTGTTTCCTGGTTTCTAACCACTATCTGAGGCCTGGCTGGTAGGCCCATGCACCGGGAGGGAGAACGGTGTTGGGACCAGAGCATCTGCGCCCGGGCCACTCAGATCGACCACTCATGAGGCTGCAGTCCTTGGCCTGGGCTTGGTGGTGAAGCCAGTGGACATCAGATGAGGGGAGGCCATCCTGCAGGATGGAGGCGTGTTCTCTCTTCTCCCCCTCTGGGATCCACATGTGTCAAAACCAGACCACTTCTGTCCTGGGAATCACATGGCTTGAGTCAAGTTGTGTCCAAGTTCAGCAGACTACCACACTGAGCTGCCAAAAACATGACTGAGATGGCCCTATTGCCTGGCCTGCCAGCAACCAAAGGCCTGTGGTAGAAAGTCCCACAGTGGTCACAGAACGCGGGGAGCCGAAGACAAAATCCTTCGCAAGGTCGGCGCCGGGGAGGAGCAGGGATATGAACTGGAAGAGTCTACCCTCAATCCTTTGGCTAAACTAGAATTTGGATAAGGTGGATATTGCTGGAAATGAGGGGCCACTGGCTGGACCTGTGAGATCTTTGGGTTTTCCTAAGCTGTTCACTGCAGCAAGATTCGCACTACGGGTACCGCATGCATGAGGAGGCAGACCGAAGGGGCACCTTGATACAGCCATTCCTGTTGGTGACACCTTTTTGGGGAAACCAGCGGCTGCAGGAGACAAAGGACTACCTGCCACCTTGTGACCGAATCCGGATGAGGCAGCCCCAGGAGATAGCTTTAAGAGCGCCTAGCAGCATCTCTCCTAAACCTACAGAGCAAGCCAAGCCCAAAGGGTTGAAAGGAGGTGGGAAGTTAGAACAGAAGGAGGGTGACACGTATGACTCGACACTTACAGTGTAGCTAACTAGACTTACACAGACTTTCATTCTGGAGGGCAGACAGCCCCGTATTCTGGAGAGAATGTGGAGTGCTCTGAATGAGTCTCTGGGCTTGGTCTCTGATGGCTCTGCAAGAAAGTGAAAGGTCTGGCCCAGTAATGGGGCAACACAGAACAGCTCTGCTCTCAGGACAGGATGGTGGGCTCCAAGGCTCTGTTCCCACCAAACACACAAAGCTCTGATCCTCCATGTGTGGTGGGAAGTGCCAAGTCGTGGACCCTTCCACAGCAGCCTCGCAGCTACCTTCTGGAACGTCTCAAAAAATCAGATCAAAAAGTTCCCTGCTGCTCCCACACTCTCTCGAGTGACATGAGGGGACTGTCCAGTGCAGATGGAGGCTCTTCTGGTGGTGTGACCCCGGCTGGAAATGGGGGGGAAATACCTAGAACTTCTCCAGGAGAGGCAACGGCACACTGGTTCCTGAGACCACCGCTTGCTGGAGCGAAGGTGTGAACGGCCTGTTGGGATGCATTCCAGCCTGTCCGAGACTTGGAGGGAAAAGCTGGGTTAGTTCTCATGAGGTGACTTGAGCAGGCCTGGCCCCCAGGGACACCGTTCTGGTCTAAGATCGATCCTAAGCCTTCTCGAGTTTTTGGACCAACCTGACTTCCCGATCTGCTAACGGACCTGGGGAGGGACCTGTTGTACAGTGCTTTTTGGAATCGAGGTATCTCACTGCTAAGTAATGCTTTATTACCAGGAAGGGAGGGAGCGGACTTGGTCAACCCTTAAGATGGTGAAACATGCCTTTGCAAAGAGCCCTCTGTGAGGGTGGTCATTCTTAGCCTGAAGCCCTCAGTGTAACCATCTATCCCACTAGCCATGGCCACTGGGGGGCCAGAGGCCACCAGCACATTACTCGTGGGAGGGCTGGGGGGAGGGGTGGAGTGCTGACCCTGACAGAACCACCTCCTGGGAGGGCAAAGGGGCCACGCTCTTGGCACTTGGACTGAGCGTGTAGAACCTAAATTGCTCACGGAGAGAAAATCCATCTTTCACAGCCTCATGTTAAAATGTGGCCTGATGCCACTGTGCCTTCCAGACATCAACCGTTTGGCCACCAAGGCACCAAGCTCAACTACTGTCCTGGCAGGAGGGCCGAGGCTCATGGAGGGGGAAGGACCCCTCCCCCAGGCCTGAGGCAATGGAACCAGAGGAACCCCATGGGGCCCCAGGGAGCGGGGAGGGGCGGTGGGTCTGAGGTGCGAGGGATGTGAATGTGGAGGGACTCGGGAGTCCCCGCTGAGCTGGAAGTGTCAGTGACGTGGCGAGTAGTGTAATGCACTCTGGGTACAGAAGTCAGACATTCGCGGTACCAGACAGGGCAAACCGGGAGGGCGGGTCTTCCACGTACATTCACGAAGCACTCCTAAGCCACACGCTTCCCTATGGCTTCCACCAAACCCCACGTCCGTGAAACCTGTGACTCCAGCCCCACTCCTGGTTTCCAAACAGCAAAGCCAAGTTTGTGGTCTTGGCCGTTCGAGTACATGAACATGGGATGGTACAGGGAGGGCCAATAAAAACCTTAGGCTACTGAAGGTACCACTGAGATGAGCTAGTTTACAGTGTGATTTGAGAAACAAAAAGGGCAACTGAAAAAACAAAAAACAAAACCAAAAAAACCTCCAAAACATAAGTTACAGACATTCAGTGCCTCCTAGCAGAGTCTAAAATCAAATTTGAGGGAGGGGAAAAAAAAAAAAAAAACGTAAGAACTGCTAAAATGTTAGGGAAAAAAAATTGAGTGGAGACAGTATCAATACTTCTTTTAAAAATGTCTTTTTTTTTTTCTATCTTATATTAAAAAGCAAAAAGTCAGCTTTATATTCTTAAAGTCTCCTTTCCTGATTTGGGGAGATAGATAGGTGTGTTTCTAAGGCGGCTGCCCCGGAACCCCCCCCACCAACGGGGAGGAAGCTCGGAGGCAGCAGCTCAATGCCCTGAAGGTGAACAAGAACACAGTCCAGTGCAGACACTGTCCGTCTGATGCGGTCTGGAGAATCCATGGCAGAGCAGCTGGGGTGGCGGGGGGGGCAGCGGTGTGGTCAAGAGGGCTGGGGGGAGGGGGGAAGGAGAGGGGGAGAGGGGGATCCATGGGGGCAAGGACAGAGAACGTCAAGTCACTTCAGATCTCAGCTGCCTGAACATTTTACGACATCAGCCTTCTACCAATCTGCACACCTGAAAACGGAGTCTTTGCAGCCCCCTCACTGAGAAAAGGAGGTGAAGCGTCTTCCCTCTTTCCCACATAGCTTTCCTGACACACCCAGCTTAATGCACAGGCGCCCACGAGCAGGCGTGTGCACGCACCAGGGTTGTGTGTGTGTGCGCACGCGTGCAGGAGGCTGTGGGGGGCCGCGCGGGCGAGCACAGCACCCCCTCCCCCATGCTGCACACCCGCGGCCCACGCGCTCAGACGCGTGCGCACGCCACATGCACACGCACGCTGAAAAAGCACTTAAGTTTCCGGGCGGGGGGGGCGTTTATAATGAGGTCCACAGTGTTTAGAACTTAAATTCCTTTTTCTTTGCGACAGTGTTGTGTGTGTATGTGGTTTTCTTTTTCCTAACGTTTCTCTTCTCTTTCTCTTGTCTTCCTTGTCAGCGTCCCGAAGTTTTAAAGCATGTTGGATTTCAGAAACATGAGTTTGTTCATGTCTTCCGGACTGAGCAGCCGCCTCCTTTTGATCAGAAGAGCTTGCTCACACATATTTACACACCCGCTCCTGGCCCCCACGGCCGGAACCGCGAGCAGCCAGAAGGCCAGCTTGGCGAGTTTCGTGTGCTTTTGGGTCACGCACGACCAGTACTGGAAGAGATCAGGGGTGGCCTGGAAGAGGGGCTCCTGCAGGTAATCGTACACTTCGTTCTTCCCCAGCCGATCGTCCTCCTGAGCCACGGGGTGCTCTCCCGCGGCGGAGCGGGGCTTCTTGGCGGTGGGCTCAAAGTCGGCCTCCTCAGCCCAGGACTCCTTCACCTCGTTGATGAGCTCGCACACCTTGCCGATGATCTCCTCGTGCTGGTAGGGCGGCACAGGCCTCAGCTTCTGCTGCGGGTCCAGGATCATGGCCACCTTGTGTGCTGGGTGCACCTTGAAGTTCTCCTTGAGGGCCTCCAGGAAGAGGTGGCACAGCTTGCTAACGGTGCCTGCGTCGTTAGCCTTGGCCGTGAACAACTTCTCCAGCCGGACGTAGGTGGGCAGCACTAGCTGCAGTGTGGGCTGGCTCTCGTTGCTCAGCTCGATGACCGCCTGCTTGACGGGCGTCAGGATGGCTGCCAGGTTGCTGAGCAGGTGCTTGTTGAGGCTCTGGATAAGGTTCATCTTCTTGGCGCGGCTGTAGAACTCGCAGATCTGCTCGTAGCGCTCGTGCACCAGCAGCAGCGAGTCGGTGACTGAGTTCCAGCAGGGCGGCGGAGAGGTCTCCTCCAGCGAGCCGAAGGTCTCCTTGGCCAGGCCCGTGGAGCCTGCCAGGTCCTCGCACACGTTGAGCAGCTCGATGACCTCATGCATGCTGCGGGCCTGCAGCGTCCGCTTGCTCAGCACGCTCTGCACCACCGAGTTCAAGGCACAGGCTGAGCAGCGAAGGCACATGCCGGCCTTGGAGAAGGCCGACGCGCTCACCCGGCAGTCTGTCACGTACACCGTCCTGATCTCCGACATCACGAACTCTGACAGCACGTTCTGCACCCAGTGGTGCACCAGGTCGCCACTGTCGCGGATGTCCGCGCCCTTGACGCCCAGCACGTAGCTCTTGATGTGGTTGCCCTCGGCCTGGTAGGCTGTGAGGATGTAGCACGAGTCGGGACCGACGCTCTGTGAGTGGCAGGTGACGCCGATGCCCAGGCAGGCGTTGCTGCCCAGGGCGCACGTCACCTTCACTTTCACCTGGTTGTACATGCGGGGCAGGTGCTTCAGTGCCAGCGTGTTGAAGTTGCCCAGGATCTCCGTGACCGAGAAGGCCCCATAGCGGGCGCCGCTGTCCACCAGCGTCTGGGCCAGCTTCAGGAACTCCTTCCCGCTCACCACGCTCAGCGCACCCAGGTCAGCGCACATGACCCGCAACAGCCGCTCTGCGATGTTCTGCCGCTCCTTCTCGGGGATCATGCTGTTGGGTGTCAGGCCACTGGTAATGGCTGGCGGAGGACACAAAGAGAGATGTCATTAAACCTGGCATCTGAGGTCCCTCTGTCTGGCGGCAGCCTACTGCTCAAGCACCTAGTGTTAGGAACTGTGAGGAGGTTTTACCTTGCACACCGTGAGCCTTAGAGGAATAACGTTCTGGGATTGACTAGTAATGCCTGCCATGAGCACGGGAAGAGAATACAGTGGGACATGTGCAACATACTTGCTGCACACGTCATTCACCTAGCTTCTTGAAGCCAACTAGTCTAACTTCTTCAATATAGGAACTGCCCCTAAGATAGGAATCTCTAAAATAAATGAGGCCACAGCATCAGGAAAGAGCAGCCTACATTAGTTGCAGACAGTGGATTCCAGTTGTGATTCTATGACTCAATACATGCGCTGTGACCACAAAAAGGTCACCTCCTCTCCCCAGGCTTCCTTCTGCCTGTGCAGTGAGATCAGAATTTCCACGGGTGAGGTCTTAGGTGTGTAAGAGCTTCAGACGTGGTCTCGCACCATCATGAGAGGAACAGGTGGTGGGATGGGGGAGCAGAGGTCAGTGACCGGAGCCAGGGCTAGAGGTGCACAAGGAGGTCCTCTGAGAGCCCCCAGGCTCTGGCCTGGGAGAGACCTACTGTTGTTGGCGCTATTCCTCTGGGCCTGGGGTTTCCACTTCTCTTCTACAACAGCAGGTGGCGATCGGGACTGGTTAGAGGCGATGTTGTTCTCGTTGTCCGCTGCGGGCACAAAGGGGACAGACAGCATGTGACCCTGAGGTGCAAGAGGCCTGCCAACTCACAAGATGAGAATGACAGCAGGGCTGGTGAAGTCCAAACAAGACTTCTAGGACGCAGGCCTGGGTCCCAAGCCTGGCTCCTGCTCAACCTCCGATACTTGCAAAGCCTCAATTCTGTCACTTGGAAGAAGGAAGATGAGCACATGGGTGGGACACACGGGCTGGAAGGACCAACAAGAGAGAATGCAGGGAGAGACCAGAGCACGGGGCCAGGTGCAGAGTAACTGCCCAGTGGGTGGGAACTGCTGCCCCAACTCGACCTGGAGGCCTCACCCCCACACACAACCCATGTTCTAGCTCAGAAATGGGTGAGGGGGGCCAGTTACAGCAAGGGGCCTAAGGGACCTCACATTCTCTCACTTCTCTCAAGCGTGCTTTCCCATCTTTTCAGTTTATTGACTAAATATTTAATTAAAGGAACAAAACCAAACCAAAGCCCTATAGGATACTAAGTTCTCAACCCCCTTCCCTGTCAGAGATGGAAACTGACCCCCAAAGACAGGAAAGGATCTGCCCCAGATCACACCAAAAAAACCAAAGGCAGGGCTGGGACAGACATCCAAGGTCTCTGATTCCTAATGCCTGCTCCATCACATCCCTAACTTCTGTTTACTTGTGCATATGCAACTGAATCAAAATGGTACATGCTGGACGCCCTGGGGACTCAGTGAGTTGAGACTCAGACTCTTGATTTCGGCTCAGGTTATGATCTCAGGATCATGAAACTGAGCCCCGTGTCGGGCTCCATGCTGGGCATGGTGCCTGTTTAAGATTCTCTCTCTCCCCCGCCCTCTGCCCCTCCCCACCCCCAGCCCACATGGTCTCTCTCTTGCTAATAGACAAGACAGACAAAATGGCACAGGCCTGTTTTCCTCCCTTCACTGCAACTCCTTGCCATTCTTATAGAATCATTTCTGAGCAGAAATGGTCTTGAGTACCGTGCTTGTCATTACAAATGACCACACAGTCTTCCGTTGTAGGATCCCCCATGGGTTGCTGAACCACACACCGAGTACCTAATTTCTGGGCCATTTCCAATAGGCACCTACTGTTTCTGCTATTAACCTACTTGCCTAATATTCTACTATCATTTCTCTGTGCTTTTGTTGTTGTGGTGGGTTCATTCCCCTGAGACATCATCTTACAGGCAGAATAACAAATGCAAGGAGATGAACAGGCCAATGACACTGGCTCAGGGTTGCCAGCATCTTCCATTGTTCTCAGTTCAAGGCTTGAGGCCCTGGAAGCCAAGGCCACAATTTTCATAGCAAGGGAAGAGGCTTCCCCAGTATCTCCATGTTCAGTCCTGCAAGGGTAACTAAGAAACTCCAGGAAAAGACAAAACCAAAAACACCCCCCCCCCCCAAAAAACAACAAAAAAAGAAACTCCAGGATATCCACTCAAAGGAACATATTCTAATCACTAAAGAAAGGTGGTTGCACAGACTGTGATAACAAGAGAAAAGGCATAATGAAATGATCGCATCACAACTTATACATATTATTTATATTTGTATTTTAGACTTGAAAGTCAAATAAATCAATCCATGCACCAAAAATAGGCCGGGGGCTGTCGGGTTGGGCAGGGGACCGCGGACTTTCACTTCCACCCATGAAGCATGACCTGCCGCAGGAATGGCTCTTCCAGTGGAAAACAACTGTGAATCACAACTCTGCTACTTTTGGAGAGATAACCCAGGTTCTGATCCCAGAAAAGGGTGAAAAAATGTGGTGAGTAATACCACTGGCCCGGCTGGCCTGAAAGCAGTTCGCAGGGGGCAGCACGGGGACAGGGAATGGGAACAGAGCCCAGAGGTCTTGCTGATTTGAAGAAGCAGAAGCTGATGTTTAGGGAGGCAGGAGGGAGCTTCTGGGTGGATGCGGTCATGTTACGTATCTTGACAGCAATCGTGATCAGATGACCATCACATGTCAAAACGATCAAATCGCACTCTTCAAATGGGTGAATTCCATGTATGTAAAATCTTATCTTCATAAATCCAGTTTTAAAATGAATGAAAAGAAGCCCATCCCGACATAACAAGAGTGGGTAGCTCTGAGTAGTGAGATCATGGCTTCATCTCCTAACTTCCCCACAAGTTCCCGATTTCTTTGAAGGGGTGGATATTACATTACATTTATATTACATTAAAAATGGGGAAAACACATGTTCTAGAACAGAAACCAGCAGCCGTTCTTGTTACCCTTCTCTACCAGCGTACACAGTTTTGAATCAGGCTCTGCCATGGTTGTGGGCTGGGAGCTGGAGCTAGCTGGTTCAACTTTCTGGGCCTCGTTTCCCCCCCTTAACCAAAATGCTGGCAAAGGGCAAGCTGTAGGCTGATTCCCCTATCCTCTAGGACCTAGAATGGAGAGGACTCAACCCAGCAGTGGAGAACATCATCTAGTATTAGCTGGCTCAATCAACTTTTTTCTCCAGATCCCACTGATACTGCCTCTGATATGGACGAGGTACTTGGTAAATGCCCGTGAAAAGGCTTGATTTATAGCCTGAGTAGAAAATAACGTTTACTCAGTGTGGCTACTCCCTAAGTCCCACAGGTGCACATGCCCGGCCCCATCAGCAAAGGGCTGGATGAGAAGCTGGAGTCAAGGCCATCTCGTGGGGAGGGGCCACTGTAGGAAGCAGCTGTTGGGAAAAGAGGCACCTGTTGCTTTTCAGTATCTGAGACTATACCACGACCTTCAATATGGGACAGATGTTATTATCAGTCCCCTCACCCAGCCTGTGAGAGCACTGACTGGCCCACTTCACGGATGAGAAGCTTGAGACCCAGTTGCTAAAGCAGCTCCAAGGGAAGGTCTGGGACCGGGCGAGAGCTCATATGATGTTAGACACCTTTTACAAGCTCTGCAACGTTGGGCCAGTGAGTCTGCTCTGTGAGCCTCAGTTTCTTCATCTATATAATGGGGATGAGAACGGCAGCTTGTTCAGGAGATCTAATGGCACAGCCTCATCTGACCCATAGTAATTGCTCACTAAATGTTAGCGATCGCTGGTATGATGACTCCCAAAACATATTTTGGAATGGACACCGGGGTCAAGACAAATTTTCCTACAGCACAGAAAAGAAGTTTATTAGGGGGAATTACCCTGTGCCATTCAGCAGCCTCTTAATGAGATTGGTGTTATTCGAGGCTGATCCCCCTTATCAGCGACACCGTGAACTGCACAGATCATGACGCTTAATTTTTCTCTATGGAGTCAATCCTTTAATCCCGACTCAGCCTGGCTGGAATTCAGGCTGGCTTTGCACTGGATTGCCCGTGAAGCTTTCTTTGCCAGCAGTGGACCAGAACAAAGCAGCCTAAAGCTCCCCCTGGAAAACAAGACGGGAGGCCTGGGAGCCCCAAGGCTCCACAGGCACAGCCTCGATTTGCATTTTAATGGCCTCCACCCCACTGCCTGAGCACCCAGACAGACCCTCCCCTAACAGGCCTCAGCTTCCAGAAGCTGACAGCGGGGCAGGTGCAGGTCCTGGTTTCAGAAGGGGAGTCAGCGGACATTGGACCGTGGGAGTCTCTGGTCCAAGAGGTGTGCCTGTCACTGGTTCCCACGGGGTCAAGTCTGAATGCCTTCAGCGGGCATTCGAGGCCTTCCATGGGGAGGGATGGTTGACGGCCAAGGAAAGCAGGAGGGGAGAGGCTTGTGAAGCCTCGTGGGAGGACAGCTGGGCAGGATAGGTTTCCGAGATGGAGAAGCTCAGACAGGGGGACACGTTTACTGACCGGGGCACTTGGCATGGCAGTACACCAGAGCTTGGAGCTCACATGTCCTGGCTGCCACAGTGGCTCTGCTGTGATTTTAATGAGTTTGTTAGAAATAAATAATAGCCCCCCACACACACACCGAAGAGCACGTGACTGAGTGCCGAGGGGACAGTGGTCACGCAACGACTGCACACCGAAGAAGGGAATGGACGGACACAATGAACGCAGAGGGGACACGCTCACAGAAATGAGGGTCCCGTCCTGCTTCCTCTGTGCAGGTCAGGCCAGCCCTAAGAGGGGCACGAGCAGTTAACGGTCACCATCCCAGACACGGCAGTGACCACTGCTTCTACACGGCCCAGTGTGTCAAGGACGTTCCTCCCACTTCCAAGCATCCCCCACCCCCACCCCAGGAGGCCTTGTAGAGAGGGGTGGCAAGGATGGCTAGCTGAAGCCCCAGGTTCCCATTTCTCCCGAAGTGTCAGGCTGTCCCTGGACAGTGGCGCTGGGCGTGCTCCTCGCCCTCGGAATGTGGGCACATAGGACCACGTGTCACTTGTGATCCAAAGTAGTATAGGAGGAAGTCTGTTGCTCTCCCGGCTGCCCCGTCTGAGACAGGGGGACTGAGGAGCCACGGGGAGGACGGAGCTTCGGTCACCATGGTCAAGGCCAGCCAGCCCAGCCACCTGCATCAGGCCACGCTGGGACAGCAGAAGTCAGTGATTACGTGAAACCGCTGCGACTCTGGGGCTTAGCCACTACCACACACAGTGGCGTCCGCCCGACCGGAACAGAAACTGGACCAGAAGCGGGGTGCTGCTGCGAAAAGACCCTGAAAACGGGAGACGTGGCTTTGAAAGCAGGATGGCAGAGAGGAGGGCGCTAATACCACATACTTGGAAGGTGGCCGCACAGCTGATGAAAAGGTCGCCTAGACAGTGAACGACTAGCCAGGAGCTTGTCACCGGTGGCTCTCCTCATACTCCCTAGACTCATGGCGGGGCAGAGGACTTGCCAGCAACGCCAGTGCCAGGCCCTGTCGCAGACCTACAGACCCCAGCATCAGGGTTGGGGGCCTGGGGCACGCTCCAGTCTGAGGACCGCTGCTGTCATGTCCGGGACAGTGTCACAGTGAACGTACCTTTACTTGGAGACGGGGCTTGGGCCCAGGCTGCCCTGGAAGGATCCCTCTGCCCCATCTAGCTCCCGCCTCAGCTCCCCGAGATCTCAAACCACACTCCCTTGCCGCCTTGAGGTCCTTCCCAGTCAGCTCATACGGTTATGCTCGGGGGCCAGAGCCACAACCTTCCAGAAGCCTTCTTCAGCTCGTCCCCCTCTCTAACTGGGCGCCCACCACCCTCTCCAGCACAGACCTCCCCTGTGGGGCCCCAGGGCTCCCTGAGGGCAGGTCCCAGGTCCTGTGCCCATTTCCGGAGAAGGCCTGGCCTCCGGGCAAGCTCTGGGGGGCGGGGGGGCGGGAAGAGCACCCAGGAAGGCCCAGACCAGGGACTCCCTTACCTGCATGGGACTGCATGTGCTCCAGCAGGTTGTTGTAGAACTGGAACTGGATCCCGCAGGCACCACAGGTGTATGGTTCTGGGGCGGGAGGGGGAGAAACAAGGCAGCTGCGTTAGTGGCAGAACGACCCTGGATGCCCGGGAACCGGCTGGGGCTCTGCGCTCGGAGCTCTGGGCCCAGCCTGTCTGCCCCTGTTACTAACTGCTGAGGGAGAGGCTTGGGGGAAGGAGCAGCAACGGAGGGAGGAAGACCTGCAGATAGAGACCGTCTAGTTCAATCACACAGACATTTATTGAGTGCTTACTGTGTGCCAGGCACTGTTCTGGGCACTGGGGAGGGGAATGGGGCGACACTAACGGACCAAGTGCTGTCCTGGGACAGAGACCATGTCCCGCATGCCCCACAGCCCATCCTCGGCAGGCAGGAGTGCAGACGTCCCCGCTGAGGAAACAAAGACGTGAGTGTATGAATGAAACGAAAACCAGGTGAAGAGCACAGAGGGCCCTAAAGGGAACGGGCAGTGAGCGGGAGAACAGGGTAGGAGGTGGAGAAGACCACAGGAAGGTGAGAGGACACAGGACAGGTGAGGACAGGGAAGACAATGCGTGCGGGACAGAACCACGTGCGCAGGGGGACCTCCCACCTCTGTGTCCCCAGAACTCAAGTCAATGCCCAGCACAGGGAAAAGTGGAAGGACGAGGAAAGAAGGGGATCAAAGAGGAGTAAGGAAGAGACGTAAAGGGTGGCTGAGATGGGCCTGGAAGAGATGTCCTGAGGCCGCCCCCATGAGTAGCTACAGGAAGGCCTGGGTTCCTGCTAGGGCCGGTGGGGGGCGGGGGGCGGAAGCAGGATGCCTGTAGTCAGGCTCTGCCTTGTCCCCTATCCGGACTCCCCCTCCCACCTGGGGCCGGCCCCTCCTCCTGCCTCTGCTGGCTGCCAGCTCTGCCAAGGGGTGGCCCAAGGGCAAGGGCTCTGGGGAAGTCCTGAGCAGGTGGCTGGCTGAGTTCACTCCCTGCCCTGCCTTGCCCTCTCCAGCCCCCCATGGGACCGTCACTTACTCTGTAGGAGAGGGAAAGGATTGGAAATCAGGGGACTTGCAGTTTCTGCAAAAGAGAAACAGTTTAGCTAAGTCTCTTCCCGTTCTGGTGCTCTGAGATGATTGTCATTACTTCTGTTCTCAGGAAGCAGTAAGCCATCGGGGCTCTCGGAGGAGGAGGAAGAGGATCTGAGAGCCAGGGTCACATTCTGGGCTGGTGCTGGGGCACCAGGCAGGGCAAGGTCAGCCAGGGCCATGCCTCTAGGACACTCTCAACTCTCAGAGAGTGAGCCCACAGAGTTCGAATGAGGAAATGTCCCTGTGTGGCTGCCACTTAAGGAGAGGGAGCTGGGAGCTGCTTCTAGATCCTGGCACCAGACACCAGACCAGCCATGGGGAGGGCTGTGCTGGGACAGGTTCTGCTTCTTGGCATTGTTAGGTGAGCCTCAAAGGCAAAAGGCAGCAGGTGTCCCTTACGGACTGGGGACCTGGGACCGTGACTGACCTCTCCTGGGCCTATTTCCTCATCCAGAAAATGGGGTTAATAAGAACACTGACACCCCGCCCCCACCCCGGGGCTGTGGTAAGGATGAAAACAGGGGAGACACAGACAGCTCTGAACACAGGCCAGGCACGTAGTAAGCGCTCAATAAATGGTGGCTGCTGGCAGCCGCACGTCCTGCTGTCCTCCAGGCAGCAGTGCTGGAGGACTGAGAGGCGGGGGGTCCAGCCTGGCTGCTAAGGGGAGATGGCGCTCCCAGTCCTGGCTCTCCTGCTTCCTGTGTGGCCTTGGGCAAGCCACCCTGTCGCTCCTGGCACTGCCTTTTGGAGACTGGGTCACACGTCTCAGAAGGTGAGCGGCTTGAGAAAGTCGGCAAGCGCTCTACAGTTTACAGGGCTACACAGACATTCTCAGCCCCCAGCACAGCCCATCTCCCTCGCTTATCCTCGGGGCACTCCCCACGTCGCCTGATTTAGTTAAAACTACCACTGCCACCACCGCCACCAGAACAGCAGCCCGCCGCCACAGGGACGTGTGTGCGAGCCCCGCTTCACAGCGCAGGGGAGGCGAAAAGGGCGCCGGCCCCAGGCACCAGCTCGGAGGTAGAGCCGACGGGGTTTACACTTCGGCTCGAGATCAGAGATGGAGCTCGCCGTACGGGGCAGAAGCGTCCACATCCAAGTCTGGGCTCCTGGCTGTTTCATGACAGCCCCAACTGCCCGCCCCGTCTGTGCCCAGGCGGTGGCCAGCACGGTGCCAGGCACATGCCAGCCCCTCACCTGCTGAGCTGAACTGCAGCTGCACGGAGGTGGGGAGGTCCCCTACCTTAACGTGACCCCAGCATCAGAACCGTTTTCCCATCTTGCCCTGGTCGTCCCTGTGCAGGCTGGCTTGCTGCGCCTTTCTCAGACAGGGCCCCCCAGCGCCCTGCTAAGCTAGCAGAGGATCCGTCTGGGGAGAGCGGCCTTTGGCTGCTCCAAGGTGCGAGAGAAACGCCGCCAGGGGGCACCAAAACACCACCAGGAACCTCGGCCAAACCTCCTTCAGACGGCAGAGGCTGGCAGAGGCCCTTTGGATGGCCTCCAGTTCAAAGTGGGGCCAGAACTCATGGGTCTCTGGCTCTTTGGCTATAGTCCTCTCTGCTGTAACCTCCTTTGCCTGTCCTGGAAAGAAACTGGCTGCAACGTTTACTCTAAAAACCCAGCAGTAGCTCTCTCACTCCTCCCCAGACCATCTGCATCAATGCTGCGGGCAATGGGGAGGGTGACTCCCTCGTCTCCCTGGGGAGGAGACGAAGAGCAGCAGTCTCGGAGATGCCCCCTGAGGCCCAGAGGCAGGTCCCTGGAAGAAAATACCCTTCCCGTGTCTGCCTGGCCCTGGCCCCCTCTTAATTCCCTGCCCGCTGCATCCTCCCAGGAATAGCATCGGGGACCATGAAGACCCCAGCCCAGAGCGCCTGCCGCCTCCCTGTGTAGGAGTAGTGGAGGCCACAGCACACGATGTTTGTCACAGGGCACACTCACCGCTGGAGTTTTGGGAACTGCTATTTGTCTCTTCAAAGTGGTTTTGTGCTTTGCCTTCTACTCTCCGACTGAAAGCGCTTTCTGCTGGGTGGGGACAGGAGAGAGTGAGAAAACACCGGTGAGTGGTTAGCACGATGAGGGCCAAAAGGAACTGGCTTTGAGGCCAGGGTACCCGGGAACTGCCTGGTCCAGGGTCTGGGAGCGCCCAGGGCTTTATGTGGGGAACCTGCACAGCGAGGGGTGCCAGGACCCCAAAACAGACCTCCAGTTCCTTGGGCTCACCTGATTTGCCTGATACCTCACCAGACAAAAGATCCCCTCCACTACAGCGCCCAGCGTGGGTGAAGGGGCAGGCACGGGGGGCACATGTGTGTAACCTGAATGCCCACATGAAATCCAGCTGAGTGGGCGGATGGCAAACAGACCTGGGTCTCCCATCTCTGATTAAGGAGCCACATGTGTGACACTAAGTCATTGGGACCTGCCACGCGCTACTTCCTCAGCCAGAATCTGCTGCCACGGGCTCCACCAAGGAGCAGGGAGGGTAACAGAATGTTTTCTGGCAGTGGCTCCAGCAGAGCAGGAGGGCCAGACAGCAGATTCCAGATCTACAAGCCAAGCGGTTGCTGGGTGGGAGGGAGGGCATCCTGGAGAGACGGTGTGACAGGCAGAGTGGGGGCAGCCGCACACCCTGAGAGCCTGAAGACCAGAGATGAGGTCTGCTCCGAATTCATCCGCGGAAAGGGACTGGATCCTTACGGGATTCGGGGGCATCTCCACCTAGAGGGGGCACCTTCCTGGCACCGTGTGAAGAGATGGGATCAGAGCAGGAGCAAATAGACCAATTTAGCTCCCACCCCTACCCTCTGTGGAAGGTCCGGAGACAGAGCAATCAGAGCTTGAAGGCAGCTCTGCTTTTCTCAGTTGCTCCTGGCACAATGGGGCTGCAGCTACCCTGGGACATAAACGCTTCTGGGAGCAAGTCTGGCTGGGACAAGCAGCTGACCCAGTTCCTTTTAAGGGGAAACAACTCACAGGGATATCAAAGGCTCTGAGAAGCCCCACCAGAAAGAGACCCGCGTGGTTGTGCGGCCTTCCCAGATACATTTAGCCACTGAGGCCCATTTTAAAAATTCCTTAGTATCCCTCAGAGATGGTGATCCCCAGAGCCCACTCTGGGAAATGCCACTGCCACCCAGCCCACCCCACATCAGAAGGACAAGTGCTCAGACCGTGGGGGCTGGGGTTCTGCACGAGGATAGGGCAATGGGAAAAGAAGCCCCAGGAAGCTCCTTCAGGCCCTGCTCCATGCTTGGGCTCCCGAGCCCAACGATGCCTCCCGACTCCGAGGCTGTTGATGGCATCCCAAGAAGATCCACTCTTCAAAACGTGTCTCTGAAATGCCCAGGCTGACAGCTACCCATTGGCTCACCTCAAGGTACCATCTGTAAATCAGCAAATAACGCCCCTCAATTCTTTGTGTGGGGTTGGGGGGGGTGGGGTGGAGGCTCTCATTTACTGAGCACCTACTATGTGGCCAGCACAGTCCGCACACCTGATGCCTGTGGTTTCCCACAGTCCTCCCGATGGTGCTGTGACAGCCATAATGTCGTTCCCATTCTACAGGCAAAAAAGACAGGCAAGTGACACTGCCCAGTCCTGGAGGTGGGTGTATGCTTAACCCACTGGGTGGTAGAAAGAGGAGAGTTCGTTGCTGAGACACATGCAGTCTCCTGAAGAGGGTCTGGAGTAGGGATGGGATTCCTTTCTCCATCTTCTGTCCTGTGCATTCCTTCAATGCTTCCCCACCTGTGGAGGCGTTCCTTGCAGCCTGACCACCATCTCAGTAGGACACAGCACCACAGAGCTGACAGTTAGTCCCCTACTGCTCAGCGGACCATGCAGACCGGGAACAGCTACTCCCGAATCAGCACCTTGGGCCAAAAAGCCAGGGGCAGTGCTCCAAGGGGAGTGCTGTGTGTAGACACACTCGTACCCAAGAAGCACGGCCTGTGAGCGGGACAGGGGCGAGGACAACTTCCAGATCCGATGGGCAGGGCCCTGCGCACCCCCTGCTGTCCTCTGCTCTGGGACCCCCAACACAAGCCTTCCAGGTCACATGGAGGCAGACAGAGGCCCGTCCCATAGTTGGCTGGATGCTTACTATGGGGCACTGAGGTATGAGAAACACGAGAGACCACAGGGCCCTTGTAGGCACTTCTCTGAACAAAACGGTCAATGCACAAGCTCCCAGACACAAGGTCAAGAGTAAAAGCAAGACTTGAAAGCCAGGATCCCATTATTTAGTTGAGCCAGTATCTACCGTCAACGAGCCCGTGATGACCAGTTTGCTTCCCACCAATGTATGACTGCTGTTGCAAAAACACAACGGCTCTTGGCTTTTCTCAGCGCAGTGCCTGAAAAATCATTACCTTCAAGGCTGACGGACTACTTACTCCTCTTCTGAAAGACCTAAGCACAATGAACTTATCCTCAAACATTTTGAAGAATCATATCTTTGCCCAAAATTGAAACACAGAGGAAAGGCAAGCCCAACCCGCACCTGACTGTGTGGCGGGTCCAATCTGCTTGTTCACTAAACTCGGTTCTCAGTCTGATCGCTGGTGTAGCTCTCTGCTGGCTCTGGGCCTCCCGAGGGTGAGGAAAGGCCCACAGCTCCAGAAGGACAACATTGTCACTCTTTCCTCACCCCGCACATCCCGGTAAGCAGCCCAAGGCTCAGCGCACCCAGACAGGAATGAGGATTCCTGACAGTCGCCACTCAGCAGCTGCTGTCTCCTCAAATCTTCCCAGGCACGGTGGCTGCTGTGTACCCTTCACTGCCTGGTAGCCACCTGCAGCCACAGACTCAGAACACACCGCAGCTGGCGTCCACTGCTTTCTTGCTGGGTTAGGGCCCACGGAGGGGCTTCACAGGTAGTACCAGGCAGGGGGAGGCTAAGAGAACAGAGCTCTGCTTCATGGGGAGCAACTCTTCTAGAAATGAGTTTTCAGATTTTTTCAGGAAGACGGGGGAATGCAAACTCATGCCAAGAGGGTCCAGGCAGGTGATGTAAATGGATGAGCGGGGCTGGATGCGAGACAGACAACAGCGTGATCACAATGAGAAATGACACCTGCCACGTGGCCACTGTGTTAGGGACGCAGGAGGGAGTGGTGAGGACCACGGAATACTGGGCAGTGTGTGCTCCCTTCAAGGTGGCTGCTGTGGCTCAGCCCCACGCCAGCGGCTGCCCTCTGGGGAAGCGGGCCCAGCACTGCCAGAGCTGACTTTCCAATGTCAGCAAGAACTCAAATGTCTTATGCAAAATCTCTTTAAGTCTCAAAGGCTGGCAGTTAATTTAAAAAGAAGTTTTAACTCCTTAGGCTAGGACTTGGGAAAATATAGTATCCCGCTTTAAAAAAAAAAAAAAATGCAAACTGTCACATACAAACTCTCTGATTTAGAGTAAGAAAACTGAGGCTAGGTGGCTCGCCATGGTGAGAGCCAGCCAGCTAGAGGCACAGCTGGGACCCAGACCTGTCCCTGAGAGCCACGGGACCTCCACTCGCTCTTGCAAGGGAAAAGTGACCCCAGGCACAGCTGTGGCAGGTGGAGTGGGGTGGGGAGTGGACAAAGTGCGAGCATGACAGAGGCCATCGGTACCTGCGGTCGCCTTGCTTGCCGGAGATCCCGAGTTTGGAGTGCGGAACGTCTGGGTTTGGGTGGCTGGAGGGGTGCGGTGTAAGAGGGCGCCACATCGGACCACGGAGGCCGGAGCTTTTTTCCCCGACTGGTTCGTCTGGGTCTTCGCTGCCACGAAGCGTGGAGACGGGGAGACCTCCGGATGCGAACACTCAGAGCCCGTGTCTGGATCGTCCGGTGGCTCCCACCCGGGGGCAGTACCTGAGAGGGTCATGCTCTCAGTCCCCGTGAGCCCTCGGAGCCGGCCGACTGAGTGGTCTCTTGGGCCACAGAACCCCATGCTCAAGGGTCAAAACCTCTTCTTGGTCCACAGAGTGCAAAGGCTCTCACTCTCTCTCGGAGCCTAAGAAAGTCCAGGATTCTAGAACCTTCCCCAGCTTCTCCTTGAAGGAAGCCTGATCATCAACTAACACACTGACCAGCTCACTGGGAGGGCTCCCCCATAACCCTAGACCAACCCAGGCTCTCAGTGCCTAAGAACGCTGCCTTTGACCTGTTGGAGCATGTGAATTAGTCAACCCAGGCCAAAGAGCATTTTCTAGAACACTGGCTCCGAAGCCTTTTCCTTCCAAGGCAGGCTGGCTCAGAAGGAAGGACAGAAAGCAGACAGCCGGGGACACGCCAGGGTTGCCTGGTGGTGGCGGGGGGAAGCAGAGCGGCTCCATGGAGCCCTAGGATTTTAGGGGGAAGGGGTGCTGGAGACTTGGTGCTCTCAGGGACAGCACGTGAAGTCTACGCTGCTGCTTTCACCAAAGTCAGTGCAGTGCAGCAGTTCCCTAGTGGTGTCTGGGGAAGTCTGGGTCACCATTTCCCAGACCCCCTGCCTCCCTCCCCTGAGTCCTCTGCAGAAGACAGAGTCACTGAGAACTGGGGGCTGACACCCAGGTGGGCTCCACCTCTGGCCATCCTGGGCGGGCGGCAGTCTGCCTCCTTCACGCCGCCAGGGGCCCTAGTCTGAGCCCTGAACCTGGCCGTACTCCCAAGTTCAACACAGAAGAGGAGCGGGGAGGCAGTGGTCTCCAGCTCAATGACAACTCTCCCCCCGAAGGCGAGAAGGGGACTAGGCAGCACAGGAAGGGGCTTCTTCAATGCTGCTGCCCCCCTCCCTCTGGGGGGTGGGCGAGGGGCCTCATTATACCCCTGGTCCCAGGACAGTGTCCCCATCCTGGGCATCAGAAAATTCACCCACTGTTTTCAGAGCCAAAAAATAAAAAGGCACTTCCTGACCCTCTACCTTGGGCCATTCCTGGCAGCCACGAGCAAGCCCTGGCCTAGAGAAGCAGGAAGCAGGGCTTCGTGCAAGGCCACACAGGGACACACTCTTCAGCCGAGACACTGAGACACTGAGATGAGCTCAGAACACTCAGCTGCCCCCCGTCCTCTTGGAGGTACCCCCTCTTCCATTCACAGTGGTGGCCAGATGCCAGGAGCTGGGGGACACTCTGGTCACAGCCCCCTTAATTAAGCAAGCCCTCACCCCGGCCCACCCTGGCCCCAAAAGGAGTTCCCAAGGCCACCGTCCGCAGAGGATATAGGTGTCCCTCACTGTGTCAATACCCATTCTCTGGACTCTGGCTTTCTTAATCACAAACTAGAGGTCTGGGTAGGGAAGGACACTTCCCTATGTTCCCTCCCTCTCTCTCTCTCCCTTTTGGAGCCAAGGACCTTAGAGGTCCCTGGAGGCCAATCTAAAGGGTGGCTTGTCTCACCATTTCCAAATGTTTTTAGCCACAGAACCAGCTACATACCACACTCCATGGTGTGTGTCTAGAGCTCTAGCTCTGAGCTCCCCACTACCTCCCTGAAGCGGAGTTTGTGGACCGAACGTGAAGCAAGATGAACCCACCTCCGGATGCCAGGTCCCTGCCCCTTCCGTCTCTGTGGTCTGGGCTTCTTTACTTCTCCTCTCTTGACCTTAGCTCCCCCCGACCCATACCCCTTTTGTCCACCAAAAAAAGTGGTGTGCCCGGCCTCATGGGGATTCTATGAGAGCCCAAGAACACCCAAGTTCCCAGAAGCCCAGTGAATGGTACACGGCTCTTCACGTGTAAGCAGCTACTACTGGGACTTGGGACAGATAAGGACACCGAGGCCCAGAATGTTCAGTCAGTTTAGGGTCACATGGCAAGTCCATGTCAGGATTAAGACAGAAGCTCAAGCTTGTCAAGCTACCTGCACAAGGCCGTGTGGTCCCCTGTGCCATCCACTCACACATCCCAGGAACCTGGGCACAAGGGACAGAGAATTTCTGAGCAACACACTGAGCACATGGCTTTCATTCTCAAGCTCCAGGCTCTACCCTGAAGGATGGTTTCTAGAAGGCCCTCCGGAGCAGTTCTTTTTAGGGTCTGTAATTCCTGATGTCAAAATCCTGGCCTGTGTGACAGCCTCCGCCTCTGTGATAGGACAGGGAGCTCGGGGACACCCACAAACCACACGATCCAGGCAATCTTCAGGCACCTGGCCTGGGACCGGCTCACCTTTTGCATTTCCCATTCTCTAGCACCTTCTCTCTTCCAAGCCTAGCAGCTCTGCACATGTCATATTCTTCTGGAAGGATGCTCCCTCCAGTTTTCACCTAGGTAACTCGTGCTGGTCTGGCACGAGTGTCACGAGTGTGTCAGACTGGTACCCCTGCCGACACCTCACTCAGTCATGGGTCTTTCAGTCTTTCAGTCGCCCCTCTCCTCCTCCCTTCCCAGAACTGATCACCACCCGTACTGACACACGGTGTGATCTTTCGAATGGGATCTCTTTCCCCATTAGTCTTAATGTTCTGGAAGGGTAGACGCCACCAGTGAGGCCCAACCATGCACTCAGGACCTAGAACATTCCCTGACACACAGGGAAGTGCTCAAGATGTGTTGTGGGATCAGAGAACCACTGCGTGAACGGCCAGAAAAGCACAGCACACCAAAGACGGGATGCCGGAGAAGAGACGTGAGAACCTAGCCCCTGCGTCACCCTCCCATCAGCCCCCGAGGCATATCCAGGGAGAGGCAGCCCCTCGGAGCTCAGAGAGGTATGGGAACCACTCTGCGGTCACAGAGCAGGTAGGGACAGAGCAGGATGAACTTCACAGACTCCTAACTCCTTTCACTCAACAGTCTGCTCCATCTGTGGACCTTCTCACACGGAATGTTATCAGGCTGCAATTCCTACCCGAGTTCTCACTGGGAAAAGAAGAGCGAGCTTCAGACAGACTGGCTGATAGAACACCTATGAAAAGTTTACATCTGGGAGATACTTAAAAATACAAGGGCACTGAGGTCTCTCCTTTCTGTAAAGCCAAAAATTCAATAGGAGCAAAATCAATCAATCAATCAGAGACCACAAGGATTCCAGAAAAATAACCATGGGGTTACCAAGAGCGCAAAGAGAGCAGGGGGTCTCCCTGACACTCTCATGGGGCAGAGGAGGGTGGAGACCCATCTGAGGCAAATGGGAATAGCGTGCTCAAAGGCTGGGGGTGGGATTGCAGGGGTTGTGGTGCAAGGGGACTCTCATCTGGGAACGCCGTGTCATGGGTTTTCATTTTAGTTAGAGAACGGGACAACTTAATCCTCCGGCCATCCCAGAGTCCCCAGTGTAGGACTAAGCCCTCCGCGAGATTCAGCCGTAAAGCTGGACAAAATACACGGAACAGGGCAGCGCAGGGCTGTGATTCACGAGGGAAGACCTGATGTGTGATTACTCCAGTCTCTGCCTGAAGATCTTCCAGACCACGGCACAGGAGTGGAGCCCAAAGAAGGCACTGCTGTCGGGCTGAATGGGGGAGGCAATGGTCAGACTTCAGGGCTTCTAAGGGAGCTGGAATTAATTAGCAGGACAGAATTACAAAGAGGAAGGAATTTTGAAGGGAAAAAAAAAAGAAAACCTCCAGAAATGTACAGAGGGAACCCCTTAAAGTCTTAGACTAGACGCCAGAATGATTTGTACAGAAAAAGCCTCTGAAAAGTCTGGCAGGTAACCGCTACTGAGGGCTGTTAGCTGAGCAAGGATTCAGAAGTCTCTCAAGATGAGGAGATGTTGTCTGAGTTCTCATCTGCCAGAGAAGACGGACCTTGCTGAATACCTCGAGAATTTAGTCGGGGACCAGAAAGGTCAGGCCATAGAAGGATTACTCTAAACCTAGAATAAGAACAACTGGAAACCACCCTAACAGTTTAAAAACAAACCACTGAAGTACAAAGCTGATCTGTAAGTTAGGTAACCATTTGCCATAACAAAATTCAATACTTTTCAAAGGAAGATAACAAAATCCAGATGCTCAACAAAACACTGCAATGTGCAGCCCAGAATGAAAAATTACTTGTGAGGCAAAGCAGGAAAATGTGACTAATAATCAAGAGAAAAATACCACTTAACAGACACGACAAGGATGACAGGCTCTCCTGACAAGGGCCTTAAAACAGCTTTCATAGATATGCTCAAAGATTTAAAGGATAATATGAACTAAATGAAAAAAAAATGCTATAAAAAGGAACCAAATGGAAATTACAGAGATGAAAAATAGGATAGCTGAAATGAAAAATTCACTTGACAGATTTTTCTAATAAAAAAGATTGTGGGGGCGCCTGGGTGGCTCAGTGGGTTGAAGCCTCTGTCTTCAGCTCAGATCATGATCCCAACCTCCTGGGATTGAGCCTTACATTGGGCTCTCTGCTCTGCAGAGCCTGCTTCCCCTCCTCTCTCTGCCTGCCTCTCTGCCACTTGTGATCTCTGTCTGTCAAATAAATAAGTAAAATCTTTTAAAAGAAAAGAAAAGATTGCATACTAGAGAAGAAAAGAACAGCAAACTTGGAAGACAAGGTACTAGAAACCATCCAAATTGAAGCTCGAAGAGAAAACAGGAGCTTCATCACCAAATGGTTTAATACACAAACAAATAAAAAGTCTCAACAGCAGAAAAAAGATGGGGTAATAAGAATATTTACAGAAATACTGACTGAAATTTTCCAAATCTGATGAGAAATATAAACACAACTGAACCACAAAACTCAAATGAACTCCAAACAGGAGACACACACAAAAAATTATACATTATAATCAAACTGGTAAAAAACAGTAACACAGATTTATTTAAAACCACCCAGACAAAGAAGACACATTAAATATAGAAGAATAAGAATGATCTTTGACTTCTCATCAGAAACAACATAAACCAGAAGATAAAAGAATGTCATTTTTAAAGTGCCAAA